GCACGAGCAGCACTCCGCTCCTCCCACTTGGCAAACCTGCGAGAAAGCACTACTCCCTGCTCAATACACAGTGTTTCGGGGAATTCACCCCTCATCAGTTTGTATCCCTGGTGATGGTTTGACCTGGAGAGCCGTATAAGTGGTGCCTTTCAGGCACAATCTTCCTCAGCCTACTCAAGCTCAACTGATGAGGGGTGATTCGTGGTGAAAATTCTGTCGGCATCATGTCCACCTATTGCGGTACAGACATAAATAATAGTGAAAACGAGGGAGTAGTAAAACCGTGACGGCATGATTTTACTACTTTTCTAGCTGGTGAAGACAACTGAAGTCAAGATCTACGTGTATATCCTGGAACAGAGGTCACTCAGGTCAGGGTATGAGTGATGGTGACAGCATATCGCAAGGCGGAGCATCATCTTTCACACCTAGCCAACTAGCAAGGCTCTCTCTCTCTCTCTCTCTCTCTCTCTCTCTCTCTCTCTCTCTCTCTCTCTCTCTCTCTCTCTCTCTCTCTCTCTCTCTCTCTCTCTCTCTCTCTCTCTCTCTCTCCCTCACTCTCCCCCTCGCTCCCTCCCCCTCGCTCCCTCCCCCTCGCTCTCTCCCCCTCGCTCTCTACCGCTTTCGGAAATTTACTTCCACAGGGCACCATTGCCTGTTTGGTCTTACGAAGTAGTAGAATTTATTATTTTGATAGGGAAGGCCCTACAGACGTTGCCGTCTTGTTACAGGGAACCCTAAGTGCTCTTTACAGAGCGGAACAAAAACGGATAGATGCTCCGTTGAACCTGACGACACGAGACAGGCAGAGAATTCCACCTATCAGCGCCAAGGAAGTACTGGAATTCGCTCCCTGCTTCTGTTCGTGTTGTGTGGTCATACCGATGGTTGGCGGCTCGATGCCAACGCTATCGCTGTGCGCTGGATATCCTAGGCATTGATATGTCAAAAGCGTTTGACTGTATAAGCAGGCCATGGCTCATCTCGGTGCTGGGATCGTTCTTGCAGCCGGATGAAATCCGAATGATCAGTTACCATGATCACGGCACCACTTGTTGCCAAGATCCTGCAGCAAGACAGCCAGATCTCCGATGCATGGACTGCTAAGCGAAGGCTGCTGATCGCCGAGTGATCGGCGACGGACAGGCCAAGGCTGACATCCAGCAGTTCACCACAGAGGCATCCCCCACACTGCAGCACATCATCCAGCTAGCCAGTGGACATGATAATTATTAATATGGTGCCTCCAGCTGGCTGACCTGTCGCCCCCTTGCCCGTCACGGGTTTTCCCTCTCCAAGAGTCCAAGGCAAGGGATGGGTTGGCCTTGCGGTACGGCTGGCAACCTGCACGGTTACCATCAACCTGTGTGCAGTGTGTGGAGCCAGCTTCAACATCACCCATGCCCTCACCTTCAGCACTGGTGGTTTCCCGTCACTTCGCCACAATGAAGTGCGGGACATCACAGCATCCCTGTTGAAACGGGTGGCCAACAACGTAGCTGTCGAGCCCCATCTGCAGCCGCTGTTACTTCGCTACAGGACTTCCTCGACAGAAGACCATGCCACGCACGACGTTGCTGCGAGTGGTGTTTGGGCAGGTCGATTTGAGCGCGCCCGAGGCTTTTTTGATGCCCGGGTCTTCAACCCTTTCCCTCCCTCAAATCGTTCCTCCTCTCTCGCGCGTTGCTACCAACGTCACGAGCGGGAAAAGCGAAGACGCTACGAGCAGAGGGTGAAGGAGATCGAGCACGGCGGCTTTGTTCCCTTGGTCCGAAGTTCTCCGCCACGGGTGGAGCTGGCAAGGCAGCATCTGCACTCAGGCCTGAAGTGCATTGCCTCCATAATAACACAGATACGCGTACAACAGTGACATGCACCGCCGTGCTATACAATGCTTCCGCTGCTGTTCTCTAGCTCTGTCCAATTATTAATGTGTTGTCAATATCCGGCAGTTGTGGCGACTCCTTCAGATTATCTGCCGCCATCCATTGCGATCCACAGCAAACTGTGTTAGGTCGTCCAGATGGCTTCGGCTCGCCTCTGCTGAGCAGGTCTTGGTCCAGGGTGCCGACCAGCCTCCATGACATCGGAGAAATCGGGCGAATCCTACTCAACAGTCCTGACGTGGATCCGGTGACGACTGTCGGCTAAGCTTAGGTCTGCTACCCGCTAGCGTTGCCTGCATGCCTTTGCGGTGCCCGGCGTATATACGTAAGTAGCATGCGCAGCCTACGAGTGTGGATTCGTCTGTGCTCCTGGCAGTCAGTGATGCTGCCATTCGCTTCACATTACTGTGTCCATTTTTATACATGAATGTGCAGATATGCCTGTTTGTTGTACGACTTTAAATAAATCCAACCAACCAACCAACCAATGTGAGACCGTCCGTGCCTGGCGAAGTGGTCTGTAGTACCGGGCTGGTCGCTAGTCACAGTGGTCTTTAGTGACAGGTTTTACTGCACAGTAAAACCTGTCACTAAAGACCACTCTGATAAGGCGACCGCCTACCCTACAGGACCATGCACTACAACAAGGAACACGGGATGTTGTTTACACTCAAATGACCCTGGTCAAGGCGACCACCTGCTCAGGGAGGCCACGTTTGGAAGGTCCCTTGAGCGGTCGGCTCGGACAGGTTTCAAATAGAGCTCTTCTCCACAAGGAAGCCTAGAGTGGCAGACTCATGGCCGTACCGTACCATCTTCAGTAGGATGTGCGGAGGGGTTAGAAGTTAAAGGGGAAGTTAAGGCAAAAATCAAAATTTCACCAGTTGTAGTCTTCGGGGTGCTGAGTCGAATGGTCGTGGTCCGAGGAAGCTGAGACGCTCCCTTCCTACTTTATTCCCAATCGAACTCGCGCACTTCCACCGAAACTGGGTGACTGAGCCCTACGAGATGGGGATTTGTATGCAAAATGTCACTAAAAGCGCCATTTCGTTCTTATAAAAGCATGGATGACCGCGATTGGCCCATATGTTGTAGTCTTTTGGACGCTGAGTCGACTGGTTTTGGTCCGAAAAGGCTGCGATGCAGCGTTCCTCCTTTATTCCCAATCGAACATGGTTGAACAAGCGGACCATTCGACTCAGCACCCCGAAGACTACAACTGGTTAAATTTTGATTTTTGCCTTAACTTCCCCTTTAAAGCTAAGCGCATACGACAGCACAACAGAGAGGCACAGTCTGTTTCATGACTGACACAGCTGCAGGCTCGTACCAAGCAGCGTTCTCCAAAAGAATAAGTTAGCGAAAGGGAGCACACACGCACACGCGCGCGCACACACACACAGAGCCGGTGGGCGCGGGTGCAGGCAGGCGGCAGAATAGAAACACCGTGAGTACTTCGAAGTATACGTAAACACCACGATAAACACCAAGTATTGATCTGGCACAATCACCACCGGTACGCAGTGGTACTACAATAGTACACTGGGCATTGGGGTAGGGGGGGGGGGGTACAATATGGGTACAATCCAGAGGGGTTATGTACTCTTGGTGCAATGCACATGTACCGGGTATATCTCCTCTCCCTCAGATGTGCAATTGCAATCATGCATAACTACATGCACAATCCCGTGTGTTTCCGTATAAATACATGTATGCACACGTGTAGGCAAGTCACTATACAGTTCAGCAGCGAGCACACACACGAGAGAAGACCAGCCACTCTCTGGGTCAACGGCAAGCTCTAATTGCATCTATAGGTACATTGTACATGTACAGTAGTCATGTACATATCAGGGCTAGTCACTAGTATGATTACTCCTGACCATAGAACCACCAGAGCAGCTGTGGCCATACCAACACAGGCTTGTGCATACATCTCCTAGCAGCATTGCGAGTCTTGCGGCAATATTAAGTTGCCGGAGTGGTAGTTTTGTCGAGCAAGCGCTCCGTTGCGCCAGGCATCATCAAGCGGCGCGTGGATGTTCCGAAGTGTCACGGTTGACCCCTCCCTGACTGGCCTCAGCTGTCGGCGGACGTTCGTTGCATGTCGCTGCGTTCTTCAAACTGACGCGTTATGGTCATGGACAGGGCCTCCATGAACACGTCCAGAGACACGGCTTGGTTCTGTGAACACACAGACAAGCACGCGGACAAGTGCACAGAGGCACGCAGGATGTCACTGATCAAGCATGTCGACGATTGAGCAGTACAGCGACAAGAACACCAGCACCACCAATGATAATGATAAGAATAGCAGCAGAGCTAAGTTCATGGCCAGTACAATCATTCTCAGCCCCATGCATGCATGTCCCACTCAGTTCAGCCGTATGCATGTCCCACTCAATTCAACCTCATGCATGTCCCACTCAGTTCAGCCGTATGCATGTCCCACTCAATTCAACCTCATGCATGTCCCACTCAGTTCAGCCCCATGCATGCATGTCCCACTCAGTTCAGCCTCATGCATGACAGTCCCACTCAGTTCAGCCCCATGCATGCATGTCCCACTCAGTTCAGCCTCATGCATGTCCCACTCAGTTCAGCCCCATGCATGCACGTCCAACTCAATTCAACATCATGCATGTCCAACTCAGTTCAGCCTCATGCATGTCCCACTCAGTTCAGCCCCATGCATAATGTCCCACTCAGTTCAGCCGCATGCATGTCCCTCTCAGTTCAGCCCCATGCATGATGTCCCACTCAGTTCAGCCCCATGCATGATGTCCCACTCAGTTCAGCCTCATGCATGATGTCCCACTCAGTTCAGCCCCATGCATGATGTCCCACTCAGTTCAGCCCCATGCATGATGTCCCACTCAGTTCAGCCCCATGCATGATGTCCCACTCAGTTCAGCCGTATGCATGTCCCACTCAGTTCAGCACACCATCATGACGGTCATGACCTACCGACATGGAGTTGACATGTGCCAGGAACGGCAGCTTGCGTAGGGTGCGTCCACTGAGACCTTCACTGCGCCTGCATGCAACACAAGCAGCAGAATGATCAGCAGGTAACGTTACACAGACTGCTCCAGAGGTAACCAGGGCGTGCTCTTTTGGACTTCATCCAGTTTCAGATTGTGCTTTCAATGGAGATGACAGACCACACATGATCTGGTCTGGGTCCAGATGAGGTATAGTCAAGACGTATTAAATGGCATGAAAAAGAAGCTTGGGAGCACTGCAAAAAAGAAGAAGCTAAAGATGGGGTTAGGTGCCATGATACGGGAATCGTTCAGCAAAAAGAACCTAAGGACTTTCATAAAGAGTTGGCGAAAATGTCAAAAACGAGTCTTTAAAAACGATGTCCTTGTTGTGTTGGTCACAAGTGCAGTGCTGAACGTGGCCCATCTGAGATGGGAAGCACAGCTTTGTATGGGAAGTGATGTGAGTGAAACTTGCAAGGTGACCAAGTGGCAACACTTGAATAGCAGCAGCAGCAGCAGGGCTAGTGCATGGTGTGGCTACCTACTTGGACAATTCGAACAGCTTGAGACTGTGCCGCGTGGCGTCGTTCTCCACAAACCTTCAGGCGAGAAAGAGAAGAAAGAGAGTAGGTTACAGAGCGAGTCACAGACCGGGTAGGAAAACACACCACTGTACAATTGAACAACGGCACACATCAGTTGTCAGAAAAGTGCCACGAGCACAAAGCTCACAGTAGCAGCCTAATCCTGTGTGCTATTGTGTGTGTGTGTATGTATGTGCACGCGTGCGTGTGTGTGTGTGTGCACGTGTGCCCGGCTGGACGTGAGATTGACTCGCATGATCTGATATCATTGAGTAGCACTGTACATGTACTGGCGTTACTCTACTGTATACACTACTATACAGTTCTGATTCAGATTGTTTGTCATAGCCAACATGCGCCTACTCACTTCAACACCTCCAGATCTCTGTGGCAAGGATAATAGAAAACACACACACACACACACACACACACACACACACACACACACACACACACACACACACACGCACAGATGAAGATCATTAATTTTGCAACACGCACCAGGTCTGGCCATACACCACCAGCTGGCAGCGGGTGAGTACCGCATTTCCCCGACTGTAAGTCGCACCCCCACTTTGAGGTTTGAAGCACATTGTTTCAATACATGCATATAAGCAGGATGTCACTCTCGATTGTAAGAAGCATCCTCTTCTTTACCCTTGAAGTCTAGTGTAAAACGTGCGACTTGTATTCGGGTAAATACAGTAGGTCAACACGGACTCACTGAGCCACGGACGAAGGGTTTGCACCAGGGAGTAGTAAAATGCCGGTATTTTACTACTCCCTGGTTTACACACTAGCGTGCAGATCAAAACGAGTATGAAACGAACACTAGAATGACTGGCTGTCTTGAGATAGCAATCATCTTAGCTACCGCACCATACCTCAAACACACACTCGGACAGCGTAGGGACACCAACTGCCAACAAAGACAGGTTTTCTGCACAAAGAGCGGTGGTTTCCACTTTCCAGGGTCGTGTTACAATACGGCACACACATGTACACACATACCCCCCCCCCCCCCCCCCCCTCATACACACATGCACACTGCACGGACACAATCAAAGCCAGATCACAACTTCCCATGCATGCACACACACACACACACACACACACACACACACACACACACACACACACACACACACACACACACACACACTTGTTGCTCACTGCCAAAACTGGTCACGTGGGTCTCCCCTGGGAGAGGGGAGAGAGACTCAAAAGGAATCTTGGAAAAATGACTCAATTGGCTATTGAATCCCCCAACGGCCGACACCCCCTGAAATCCTCAAAACTCTGGGTGGACTTGAAAATGATCCCACTTATGGGCTCACCACACCTCAGTAAGTGGGTGAGGACAAGGTGCAGATAAAGGATTGACGGCATCAGGGTATCCGTCCTGGGATCCAACTGCAGTTACCCCAGCCCCCAGTGAAGGTAATACTTGCTGCTAGTGTGGGTGGCTAATCAGAGTGAATCCGATATAAGCTTCACTGGCACCATAGACTACACAAGAGTTAATCTAGCCAGAAGCAGTCCATGGTTAAGGAGGCTCCAACCTTCTGCACTGCGCAGCCAAACTCGACCTCAATTTTTTGCGGCCGAAAGTCTTTTTTTTGTAAGAAGCGCGAAATGCTGGGAAAACCCCAACTCAAAACAATAATTTGAAGTGCTCATCGTCTGAAGCTTGTTTTTGTTTCGACCACTTCAAGCTCGCCTTTTGGCTTCCCGTCTGGTGTCAGTGTCTTTTCTTGGCCAATGGGCCAGTGGTGGGCAACGGAGTGATGGCGACCTATCGTGGCAAGTTCGTGAGGAAAAAATCCGCTTCGCGGCTGAATTTCTTTTCAGCGAATTTCGCTCGAGGCAAGACTGTGGCCAAGAAGAACCGAGGGAAGCGGCTCAGTGCACAGCCTGCAGCCAGTGCTAGTGCCACTGTAACTTCAAGTGTTGCAGCCAGTGCTGCCGCCAGTGCTGGTCCCAGCACTACATCGAGAGAGCCTGAAGTGGGTGCACAGAAACCAAGCGGATCCACTTCTGATTCTCGAGTGCAATATGAATGTTGTTGGGTTCGCGGACTCGCTCCTGGCGTTCAGGGCAGCCTATCCAGGTCAGCTTACTTTTCTACTTTATGTGTAAACATTCTGGGTGTAGCGAGTACCTTTTCAAGTGTGTTGCTTGATTGGTGATCTTGAAGTGTGTGGCTTATTGGCTGCTACTGCTGTACACTCTCTGCCCTGATTTGCTTTAGGTCAAGCCAACTACCGACAGGAGACGCTTGCATCCTCCTTGCTCCAGCTGAGCTATCCTGCCCACGATGCGGAGGGGGATGTCATCGCTCTTAGTCAGCTTTTGACAAAGCTGACCAAGACCCAGCTGTTAGCAACAGCAGCAACAACAGCATCTACGCAGAAGATGATCGAGGAGGACAAGGCCAGCAAGACCAGAGCCATGGAAATCGGGCAGGCTGTCCCCAAAACAGCCCTGACTGACTCCATGGTTCGGAAAATTGCACAGTCTGGCCTGTCTCTTGCTGATATTCGACTGGCACATTCGCGGAATGGCATCAAGGAATTATTTGGAGAGAAGGACTGTGCTGGGAAAGCCAGGGTAACAAGGACGACCTCAGTCATCAAGAAGCTGGTGTCTTGGCTTGGTGCAGCACCATCCCAACCATCCACACCATGTCAACCATCTCCAGCAGTTTCCAGTCAGCGTTCTCCGGTCACATTGGCCAAGTATCAGCGGCGGAAGGCCGAGGGATACGATCTCCCTGACCCTGACTACCTGGCATGGCTGGCGGAGAGTGCTCCATGGGTGGTGACACTGGTTACCAACATACTTCTCAGTACCTCATATGACATTTTATCACTCTTCTATTCGACCTCCACTAATTCTCGTGATCCTTGACTGGTCCTACATGTATATTAGACATATCGCCGTAATATCGACCGCTTGTATCGACCACTTACAGTCCATTTCAAAACTATAGACGCGTACCTAGGCAAAAACCGTTATGCCAGCATCTATACCACATAAAATCTGTGATCACTTTGTGCATAAATTTTCCAAATTGGGCATCTGTTATCCAATCGTTTAGAAACTATATGAGAGCAATTGTGGAGCGGACCTGAGCAATATTCCGACAACTATTCTCAAAAAGCTCCAGCCAAATTTGAAATATTTCAAAAACCCTACGCATCTATAGTTTTGAAACGGACTGTAGGCATTGTGTTAAAAGAAAGAAGACAAAGGAAGAGAACAAGCAGGATTCAAACCCACAACAGTATGAATCTCAAGCAACCCCTTATACCACCCAGCCACCGTGCTGCAGATGCTGAACCCTGTTGTTCTTACAGTCTTGTACCCAAAATAGGCAACATCCTATGTACACTATAGTAGTACAAATGCTATACAGTCAACTTCGCTAATAACGACTGCGGATATAACGACAATTCGCGAATAACGACAGAATTTCCATGCCCAGAGCAAAGTCCCATCCCACTGTAATACATAACGATGAGACTTCGGGTATAACGACACTTCGCGAATAAGGACACCTTTTTGATGCCCCGCCGAGTGTCGTTATAAGCGAAGTTGACTGTACTAAAAAGGTTAAAATAGCTCCTAACGGTTCAAATTTTGGGGTTATGGCAAAGGAATCGTGATAAATAGGATATTGACCTCGACTTCGGTCTATATGGGAAATATAGGCCTCGTAAAAGACCCTGGCGGACCTCGGTCTTTTACTCGGCCTATATTTCCCATATAGACCTCGTCTTGGTCAATATCCTATACATATTACATAAAAAGGATGTATACCATCAGAAATGCGTGAAGTATGTGCACATATGTGAAAAAGCAGATACCAGCAAATGTACAGAATCCGTTCATTTTTGGGTATATTTTTGTTTGTGGGGGTCTAAAAAAACTCTAAAATGCACGGTAACACCCCTAAAATTGTTTATTTTCAGCTTCCTTGAAGTATGAGGATCCCAGAACAGGAATAAAAACAGGGTGTCTATGAAGAATAAACGGAGCTGTACACAATTGTTTACAGCATAGTGGGGCGTATTCGCAATGTTTCGTTTTTGAATAAAATTAATTATTTCTCTGCATGATGAAGAAATAGGCAAGCCCACTTGCCTAAATGCCTTCCTAGGGAGCAAGTTGTGACTTCTAAGTGAAAAATACAATTAGAGAGCAGTACCTTTGAAAAATACCCCCAAAACATGCAATTTCTGCCCGAAACCGATAAATATACCGACCCCTAAATAAACGCCCAAAAAAGCCTTATCATGCCGGTGACCTCACCTAAAAATTATAAAAATAGGTTCTAGCAAGAGTACATAACCTCAAGAGTGTGCAACTGCCTGCACAACCTCTATGCTGTGCTGCGACGGCAGAACTTCACATCACGTGACATGGTTCAAAAGGTTATGCTGGCAAACAGTGCAAAGTGACCACAAGAGAGTTGTACCCAGAGCTGGGCTGCGTACAACCCAGTATCTATCATGCACAGAGTGCACGGGTTCATCACGTGATGTGAAGTTCTGCCGTCGCAGACCCCATTGCTGGAGTTGCACACTCTTGGGGTTATGTACTCTTGGTTCTAGGGATACTAGGGAGCACAACCATCTAAAAAAAGAGGGTGTTAAAGAAGAAAAAATTTCACCCCCAAAGGGTTGGAGCCTCCTTAACAGGTATGTATACTTGTACTTGGTCCGGCTCATCGCAATTGTCGCTTATCTATCGCCACTAAGAACAGGAGTTTTTTTACCGCTCTGTGAAATTTCCAATAGGCATAGTAAGGAAGCATGATACATGAATACTGTCCGCCACAAGAAAAACATTTCAGCAATGAAATCAGGTGAAGCGAGTCGAAGAAGGGAAGCAAGGTACTCAAAATGCACGAAATAAATCAGCGAAGGAGCGCGTTCTTGCACTCACACTCTTACAGGTCCAGATTTCATTCACCTCTGCATCACTCGAGCTGCCGCGTCGTTACATGAGCTGACATTTGCGGGTGTCTAGCTGCTGGCGTAGACTGGTAGAGTATCTCTTGCTTTCTCAACCTGTCGTATGGCAGCAATGGGAAAGGAACAGTTGTGGCTGTCACTTCGGTGCTTGAAGGAACCATGGCCAGTGTGACCTGTGTGTCGCCACAGTGTGTTTCAACAGAGCCTTCTATTCTATTCGAATGAGACATACAGGCCTCTCCAGACAGCTGTCATACGCTCCGCTGGATACGCTGATGGCTCTTGTAATGCTGCTGCTAGGTCCACCGAGCGAAGGAACAACCAACACCTCGCCGGGCGCTTTGCATCAAAAACACCTTTCTTCTTCAGCATGACGCTCATATGTACTCGACTCCTCTGCCGTGCACGCGTGCCTGTCACGCTCTCCAGGCTGTCAGCTGCCCCTACCACAGTTCCGGTCTTCGGGTCGCTGTGCTTGGCTTTTGGCAACACAGACAGTGAATGGTCAGATTCCCACTTCCCAAAAAAGTCGAACACATCGCGATTCAAAGCGCTAGTCGCGATCATTTTTCTTTGGTGCATCCTTTGATCTTGCCATCACAACCTCACAAGCAAAAGTAAGTTAGATATCGTCATTGGACTGGGTTTTACCTGTCAAAAAGTGTGTGGGAGATAAGCGAGAATTGCGATGAGCCGGGTCAAGTATACTATGTATACACACGCACACACATACACACACACACACACACACACACACAGCGCGCAGGCTAATCTGTACACGGCGGCTGTTCATAGCACTACATACCTCATGCCCAGGAGCTGCTGAGGTGGTGCTATGATGCCAGTCTACAGTCAAGCACAGGACAATCAACATCCACTATTCCACTATTACCGTATTTTCCGCAGTACAAGCCGCACATTAAACACCAGTAAGTCGGTGCGGCATATAATACAATGGTCAAATTAACGGTGATAAACAGGGTGGATGTGTGTATTTCGTCACAAAAATCTGGGTGTGCATGTGGCTTATACTCCGGAAAATATGGTACCTTCAATCCGACGACAAAAGCTCAGCCGAACTCACACAAACTCACCAGTAAAATTCTTGCAACAGGTCAGTGAAAGTAGCAATTGACAGATTAAATTGCACACTGCAGCTGCAACACTACCACTGTACTCACGCGCATGAGTTCCGCCAAGCAAGACTGGTAGATGCGGTATATGGCCGGCGGTGTCGGCAGCCCAATGTACTGCTTGATATCAGCTCTGTCAGACAAAACAATCGACAGGAGTGTTATCAGAGCCCAATGTACTGCTTGATATCGATATCAGCTCTGTCAGACAAAACAGTCGACAGGAGTGCTATCACAGTATCAGAGCCCAATGTACTGCTTGATATCAGCTCTGTCAGACAAAACAATCGACAGGAGTGTTATCAGAGCCCAATGTACTGCTTGATATCGATATCAGCTCTGTCAGACAAAACAGTCGACAGGAGTGCTATCACAGTATCAGAGCCCAATGTACTGCTTGATATCAGCTCTGTCAGACAAAACAATCGACAGGAGTGTTATCAGAGCACAATGTACTGCTTGATATCAGCTCTGTCAGACAAAACAATCGACAGGAGTGTTATCAGAGCACAATGTACTGCTTGATATCAGCTCTGTCAGACAAAACAGTCGACAGGAGTGTTATCAGAGCCCAATGTACTGCTTGATATCAGCTCTGCCAGACAAAACAATCGACAGGAGTGTTATCAGAGCCCAATGTACTGCTTGATATCGATATCAGCTCTGTCAGACAAAACAGTCGACAGGAGTGCTATCACAGTATCAGAGCCCAATGTACTGCTTGATATCAGCTCTGTCAGACAAAACAATCGACAGGAGTGTTATCAGAGCACAATGTACTGCTTGATATCAGCCCTGTCAGACAAAACAAGCGACAGGAGTGTTATCAGAGCCCAATGTACAGCTTGCCCTTGGTATTGTTCTTGCCTTTGTGTACAGTCTACTTGCGATAAGTCACGCACTTTTTAAGTCGCTCACGTTTGCAAATATGGACGGCGTATACTATACTTTGTATACGTATACAGTATATGGAAGTCACGCACTCGCCATAAGTCTATTTATTGTCCTGGGTTGCACTCAGGCGCGTTGCGCCGTAGCGCAAATTTCGCAAACAAAGCAACTAGAGTTTGCCGTACCATGTCCGCGAAACGCCCAAAAACAGGCTGAGCGTCGCGTCGTGAGCACAAGAGTGCATTACAGCATTGTGTGCAAATGCGCACGTGGCGCAGCGTAGTGTGAAACAGGGAGCCGGAGTAGCATGTAAATAGTAAATACCGGTGTTTTACTGCTCCCTGGTGTGAAGTGACTACACTGTGCGATTGTTGTTCTAACTTGCTGCTCCCTGCCATTCGAGGAAAAGCAGCATGTTTGTTTGGAAGTCCAGATGTCCCAGCAAAACGTTTGCAAGACGCAGCCGATAGAAGCGGTGTATGTCAAGATCAAAGGAGAATGATGTATAGACTGCTGAATCAGACTCGCTGAATTCTCTGTCGTGCAGTTTACCGCAAAAATTCCAAATAAAATGAGCTGGCTTCAGTAGCCACCACTCTCCCTAACACGAATGGCCCCTGCAACCAGCGTTAACTACTAGTTACCCCACACCTTCACCTAGCAAAGACGACTAATGTATTGCTGCCCATAACTTTTTTCGACATGGGTTTTTAAGTGTAAAAAAACAAGCTAAAAAATAAAAATAAAATAAGGCACCCATTTTGATAGTCCAGGGGATGGCCAACGCCTGGTAAAAAGAATAAACAGAGAAAAAAATTGCTGCCCATAACTCATTACAGTACTGTTGGGCCAGGCTAGAATTTCACCAATTCTTAAGAACGGTGTAGGCTGGATTTTCCGCAGATAAGAACGGAGAGTGTACTGTACACTATAAAGATTAGTAGAATGTACACTCAGACGTATAGCTCTTCATAAATGTACATGTACGACTGTACCATCGAATAAGAATGAAACTGCTGTGTTGGCTAAAAATAAGAACGGGCTAGGCTAGAACTCTGACCCCCCAGTTCTTCGGCGCCCGACAGTGCTGTAGGGTCATACCAAGGATACGTCCACTCACCGATCCACAAAGGCAAGATCTATTGCACCCGTCATGTTCGACGTTGTTAATATGATCACGTTACTGTGCCTGAAAAAAATGAAACACACGTGTTCAAGCACGCATATACACATACATGTATGCGCACACGCACATGCACACACACACACACACACACACACACACACACACACACACACACACACACACACACACACACACTTGTACTTGCTCTCTGCCAGAAACTGGTCACGCGAGTCTCCCCGGGAGAGGGGAGAGAGATTCAACAGGAATGTTGCAAAGATGACGCAATTGCCCATTGAACCACCCAACAGGCGACACCCCCGCAAATCACTAAACTCTTGGTTGACCTGGAAATGAACCCACTTATGGGCTCACCACACTGCAGTAAGTAGGCACACCAGTACCATAGACAGCATCAACATAAACCTTTCTCTGTAAACTGCAACGCAGCCACGCACGCATGATTCACTCTTCCCTTCAAGTCCAAAAACGGTCTCTTTACTGTGAATTTCTTTAAATTTCACCAAATACTCTTACTTGTATCAAATTGCACCAGTGGGAACATACCTCTTGATGCGGTCAATCTGAGTGAGGAGAGCGTTTACTACTCGAATAGAATCCGATGGTTCGCTGCCGGACATTGCAGCTTTGCGCGCCATTGTGAGACTTTCCACCTAATTGCAAGCACGCACAGACACACATATACACACACTGAAATAGTAAAGAGTGTGTGCGTGTGTGTGTTGGGGCGGGGGTCCGCTTCACAAGCAGTGCTGGAAGCACGTGGCAAGTAGGTAACACACCCAACATATGTACGGTTGAGTGGGTATGTGATGTAAACAGCAATAGTCATAGAACACACCCCATAGGCGTAGAAATTCACACTTCTGCGTTTCCACTAGCAAATGTGCATGTACGGCAGTGCAATGTGCTGTCCTACCTCGTCGATAAGAACGCAGACCAGTGCATCGGGATCGTCAATCAACTCCTGTATCTTATCAAACATCTTCTGCACCAGCTTGCCACTCTATAACACACACACACACACACACACACACACATGGACACACACGCACGGGCACACACACAAACAAGCGTACACACACACACACATTCCGGCCAGCAGACACAGAAATAACAGAAGTTCAGTCGTGCATGTGTGTGTTGCATGAGATTAGCAGCTTTGCACCCGAGCCAGCTGCTGTAATCCACAGAACCCATTGGTTGCAAGACGCAGCACCCCCTCCCCCTTCTTTTGCATGGCACCCCTAGTATGGAATACGGGCTATTGAGCAGGTGATGTACTTGTACTAGTGCTGAAACGATTATATCGATTACTCGTTACTTACTCGATAAGAAATAGATCGAACGGTTATTTCAATTTTATCGGCTAAACGAGTAGAATGGTACTTACGCTTGGTACGGGATTTCCCCCCTTTTGGGGGGTTGCACAAAGCGGGCATGCACCGAAAGTGTTGCGAGGACGACACGAATATGTACATGACTGTACACTTGCAACATCGATGAACGTGTAAAAGACAGTACAAGCGCAATCTGAGAAACATCGACGCGATCACCGTCGCCGTCTTTTCAGCTGACTACTTTTCTTACATACAGCATGCAGGACGGGCAGGCTCAGTATGTGTCTATACTAGCTGCAGGTGGTGGAGTTCCCTCCACGAGCGAGTAGTCTTGAGCTAAACTAAAGACAGTAAAGTGGTCTTCAGTTTCGTGTTTTCCGTTCTGTCGACGGTTCCCGAACCAGTTTGCTCGACGACGAGCTAGGCCTGGCGTCTAGGCCTATTTTGAGCAGAGACAGGGAAAGCAACTAGTTACTTGTTGGCGCGCCTCAAGTGAGCTCATCTGTCGAAATCCACCGATCTGCTCCCCTGGCAGGCTTCTCTGACTTCATCGCCGGAGTCAGATCTTGGGTTGCAACCAGTGCGTCGCCTCTCTCTTGTCTGTATTCGCCTGGTCAGTCCGAACAGCTGACGGATTTTTTGCGGGATCATCGGATCTATGCACCCGCTGTCCGTCGTTGGCGTTTTTATTTCTATGTTTCTCGTCACCCGCGTGCATACGATTCAGGAGTCTAGAAGAAAAAAAGAAAGAAAAAACTGTGCTGCACTGACTGTGCATGTCGGGACCAGCACACTCATGCACATGTACATAATGTGACCTGGACTGCGCGACACATGATGCGAGGTCGGCATTTTTTGTGCGCAATCTAGCTGCACATGCACAGATTGTGACAGAAGCTCCTACCACATACTAGTTGCTAACTATGGATGCTATTTTGCATGGTGTATTGGTGGATTTTAGTGTGAACAAAGGTCTAATAAACTTTTATTTTATTTTTCGGTCATTTCTTATTTTTTTCCACCTCTCGCATACGTTTTTAGATTTTCAGGTGACGAGAAACATAGAAATAAAAACGTGTGGCCTAAGCGATGCTGTACATATACGTTGTTCGTATGAGAGCTGAGCCGTGCGTCTGTGTCTTACCTCGGAGAACCACTTTGAAAACAGACCATGGCTATTGATCTCAACAAGCTGCCCGTACGTATATCTGTGATCACAGCCGGTGAACACACACCGACACACATACACACACATTCACCCAGACACACACATTCACCCAGACACACACACACACGGATATGCACACACACAGACAGACAGACAGTTCGGCAAAAGCTTGATATCCAAACGATGACGCACCAGCACAGGTCCAGCCAAGGGATTCATAAAATGCATACAGACAGACAGAAAGACAGACACACGGACAGACAGAAAGACATACACATGTTGTGATCTCGAACTCGTCAGTCACTGAACTGATTTTATTGTAAAGAAGACACGAACTTAAGAGTGTGAAGAAGAGTATAGCGAGATAGAGAGCGGTAGAAGGAGAGCCACTGGACAGCTGGATAGTGTATCAATAAGCGCACGAGGGGAAGGCTAGACAGTATGTCTCTAGACAACAATAGGTATTGTACGAAAAGCCAGTCAATAGCACTAAGGAGTGAAGTCAACCACAACACAGACAATAGCTTCAGACAATCATGACAGGCATGATACGGATGATATAACATCTCCCCTTTCAAGAGTGAAACTGGCAAGCAAAGAGGCCAAATAGAAATGGAGTATTTGATACTAGAGTCGGCAGAGAGAGAGAGAGCGCAACCATGCGTTCTGTGGAAGGAGAGTCAGCACAAAGAGTAAGATGCAGAGATCACAGTGCGACTCTACGAGTACAGAATACAGAATACAAGTCATGTAGAAAGAACATGGAGTTGCATGGAGAGTCCATGTCAGCATCGCACACACGAACAGCATGACTGTTTGGTGCTGTGGTGGTACTTACAGTAACACCACCCACGGATTTCTGACTTGTGTCACGTTGGCGCTGTTGCACGTTGACACACGCGGAAGTGACCAAGTAACAAACGGTTCGTTTCTTGCGAGTCTTTGGCTGTAGCTGGGCAATCACGCCGAGGGTGAGCTGCACCACCACAGACTCGATGGATCGTTACTACACTGAGGAAACGGTGTCGGAGGTCGAGCAGTACGACGTGTTGTCTGAGGTTTCCGCCGCGTTTGCGAGGGGAGGTGAACCCGGGAGAGACTTGCTGAGCGCCATCTCTGTCCTCTCCGTTCGCAGGTAAGTTTCGGCCTGCTCGACAGTTGTGGTAGCGGTCTGAGGCGCTTGACGGAGGAGGAAGACTTGGGCATCGGCCGGGAGGGCCACGATCAGTTGTTCTCGAACGAGGAGGTCATCGACGTCGTCCGAGGACTATGCAGGAGCTGCAATGAGACTTACACGAGGAGCTGCGACCGGTAGGAACGCGGAGGCAGGGAGGCTGCTTAGAGGCAGACGGACGGATTCTGCTTACAAGTTATAGGCAGGCGGACGGATTCTGCTTAGAGGCAGACGGACGGTTTCTGCAATGAGCCAGACGGACGGTTTCTGCAATGAGGCAGACGAACGGTTTCTGCAATGAGGCAGACGGACGTTTCTGCAATGAGGCAGACGGACGGTTTCTGCAGTGAGCCAGAATTGCTAGAGAGAGAGCCTGAGTGATAGGGCTAAAACGAGTAAAGAGGAGTACAGTTTGAGGACTACATTGCAAGCAACTCGGCTGGATTCGTAATCAAGCCACTTCTGACACCCTGTTGTGATCTCGAACTCGTCAGTCACTGAACTGATTTTATTGTAAAGAAGACACGAACTTATAGAGTGTGAAGAAGAGTATAGCGAGATAGAGAGCGGTAGAAGGAGAGCCACTGGACAGCTGGATAGTGTATCAATAAGCGCACGAGGGGAAGGCTAGACAGTATGTCTCTAGACAACAATAGGTATTGTACGAAAAGCCAGTCAATAGCACTAAGGAGTGAAGTCAACCACAACACAGACAATAGCTTCAGACAATCATGACAGGCATGATACGGATGATATAACAACACAAAGACAGACAGAAAGATAGACAGAAAGACATACACCGGCTAGTTCAGAGGTCAATGGCAAGACGTCAACACCGGCTCATTTAGCCGAGAGTTGGGACAAGCGTCACATCAACACTGCATTGTGCTGAGAACTGGCATAATCAGTAGTTGAGTGCAGGGTTAGGACGGACAGTCAGTTTCAGCCCCCACCCCTTACAAAATACTAGTAATGACATTGTACCAGCACTCCCACTCCATGACGACCGACAACAAAAACAACGGCAACGACAACAACAACAGCAGCAGCAGCAGCAACAACAACTAGGCAGAGAAAATCCTGACCTTTTAGAGAAGCGAATGCAAAGCTTTTGTGCGAGTGCTTTGCAGAGAGAGGTTTTTCCCGTGCCAGGCGGTCCTAGATAGCAAGCACAGAGAAGGTGCAGAACCATGGCACGTGAACCTTGAAGATCTAAACAATGATACCGGCATGCGAGCCATGAACATCTTGCAAAAAACGAAGCCAGGAAAAATGATGCACCTATGAGGCTGTCTGACATGCATTAGAAACGTTCCCAAACAAGTTGCACCAAGGGAACAGTAAGCCCAAACAGCCATCCTTTTCTCTAACAGGGCCGCCAGAACCGGTCCGGTTGCTCAGGTTATTGCCGGACCAACATTTTAGACACCAACACATGTTTCCTACTGTGGAGGTCATGTGACGATGTGTACCCGCCATATCATACACAAAGTATGAAATGCACTGAAACTACCGGACCAATCAAAAACTGCTTCCGGCGGTCCTGGCTAATGATAGTTCTTTCAGCTGGTTCAGCACTCCCTGCTCAATGCCTTCTTTTCTTGGAAGCCTGCATACTTAGCCTGCATACTTGACTATCCTTATTGTTGCTGTTGCTGCTGCTGCTGTTGTTGCTGTTGTTGTTGTTGCTGCTGTTGTTGTTGTTGTTCTTCTTCTTCTATGCATCTCCCCCCCCCCCCCGCCCTTATATCCCTATTAAATTCACGATGGAGAAAAAGAACACAACTACTAGCACTGAACCATACCATGAAGCAGGATGACGCGATTCCACGAGACCACATTGCAATCCACATTGCTGCAAGAACACCGAGGGCCAGGCAAGCAGGCACACACGTAGGGTAACTGGTGCCAGCAAGATGCAGACACAGTGAATGTACATGTATATTGAAACCGGTGTTCAACGACCATCCCAAGCTGCTCAGAGAGCGCAGTCTTTAAAGCTAGGTGGTCTGTCGACACAGGTTCTCATGTATGTGGAGACATGGTCTTGATCCAGAGATGACCGGTCTTACAAGACAGGTGGTCTTTCAAAGTTTCAATGCAGGCTCTAATGTATGTAGCAACATGGTCTGGGTCCTGGAATGACTGGTCTCATAAGACAGGCGGTCTTTCAATACAAGTTCTAACGTATGTGGAGACATGGTCTGGGTCCTGAGATGACCGGTCTTACAAGACAAGTGATCTTTCAATATAGGCTCTAAGGTAGTGTAGCGACATGGTCTGGATCCTGAAATGACCTGTCTTATAAGACAGGTGGCCTTTCAACACAGGTTCTAATAATGTACTGTAGAACGGCTAATTATTATAGCGGGTAAATTTTTTAGCGTTTTCTGAATCTGGACCAATTCGCGATGAAATATTTTAGCGATCCGAGTTCCAGACTTTAAAAAGAGGGATGTTGTAGTACTGTACTGTACATGCAAATTCTAGATTGGCGTGGCAAAACTTAAGCGAAAACACTCCTTTCGCTAAAGTCGCTAAAATATCAACGTCACTAAAATTAGCCGTTTTACAGTATTTAGCAACGTGATCCGGGTCCTGAAATGACCGGTCTCGGGAGAAAGATGGCCTTTCAACACAGATCGAAAAGTGCGTTGAAGCAGGGCCACACACAGCAGATGAGAGGCTGTTTCCACGGTGACTTTAAGTTTCACACACTCTTATCTTTCATGTAGAAATCTCCATATGGCTGAGCTACCATGCACAGACAGGTCCCCTGCGCCTGGTGAAATCCTAGACTATTCGTTCTTCGGCGCCTAGCAGTACTGATAGGGCATGTGGAGTTCCCTGCAACAGAGTGCCGAGTCACATTAAAGTGCAGTACATGTACAGAACGCCAGCAAATTAAGTGAGCTCCCATCAAGGAGGACATACTGGTCGGAGAAGAGCAGCGTTGTTGTAGCGTACTGCAACAGCTGCATGAGGAAAACAGGTCCAAAGGCGAGCACACACGCACGCACACACGCACGCACGCACACACACACACACACACACACACAGCAACAACAACAACAACAACAACAATAACACACACACACACAAACTAGCAACAACAAGAATCGGTCTCTAAAAGACAGATAGCCTCTTATAATAGTCTTGTTGCAGTGGTTGCTAACAATAAAACCATACTGAAGATGTTGGCCGAGGAGCCAAGAGAAAATGACAAGCAGCACACAAATCAAGAACTTCCTTCTCCTAACCTTTTCCTTGACGTTGACATCGTAAATGAGGTTCTCCCACAGTCCTTGGAACTCAGCTGCTCGTGTTCACACACACACACACACACACACACACACACACACACACACACACATACACACACGCGCACACACACACACACACACACACACACGCACACACACACACACACACACATCAACAGACACAAACACACACAAACACACACATGTACCCACAACAGCACAGACACGCAGGCAGGCAGACAGGTTATATAGACACATGCGGGGTCGCATACTTCACAACACAGTCTCCTGTCAGGAACATGTCCTGGTGATACTTGCAGTACAAGAAGGATCCTGGGTATCATTTTACAGTCATCTGACCTCGGATATTCAGTAACGTTACCTTGGCTATAAATTTTTTTTTAACCCCAGATGTTTACGTCCCTTGGAGGTACTTGTACATTGTAGTGATATAATTATAATATTATTGGTAGTGAACTACTGTAAAAGCCATGTTATAACGAAGTGCTAATTCTAGTTAACGAGGAGAAATCTGTCGTTAAATAGAAATCGTTGTACAGAATCGATACATATACAGTTGCTATTGAGCGTTGAGAATGAGTGAGAATCGTTACCTTTGGTACACGTAAACTGGTCAATTTTAGGAAATCGTTATATATGCGCCTCGTTAGAAGAATGGCTTTTACAGTAAGTGAAGTGAGCTGCAACGCATTGGTCATCAAGACTACCAATCAGGCATGCCATGCTGTGTTCGGGTATGCCCTGCCGGCTATTTCAGAGTATAAACCGCACCCAGAGGTATATTTATAGTAAAGAAAAAGACCAAGGAACTACAAGTTACGCTATAATGTCCACTAACACCACCAGTTACTAAACAATCAGCTCATGCGATAACATTGCACGACATTGCATTGTAGTTCCTTGGTCCTTTTCTTTACTATAAATTAATCCTTGGCTCTCCCCCCGAGTCTATCCAGATGTCTATGTCACGCAACAGACATCTAAACAACAACAAAAATGGTACAGTATTTGGGTATGCAATGCTATATAAAGAAGTAATTCGGCATGCCCAGCTGCACTAGGGTTTGCAATGCTGTATGCTTACTGGATGGCAGTAGCCAGTGACCGGCGGCAGAAATCTCTTCTTCCTGGTCGTCGATCGTCTCCGCCGCCGGTCCGTCTTCGTCCTGGTGCAGCTGAAACACGTGGATGTCGAGCTGAGCTTGCGCCAAGCACACGGTGCTGCGACTACTACTACTGCCGCTAGCGCCGCCACTCAGCGTAAGATCAGTGTCGCATATGGACACCGACTGGACGTGGCGCGCGAGGAAGTCGTCGGGGAACTCGGTGAGAAGAACGTCGCCGAATATCGTCTTGTTGCTGTCCTGCAAGAACAGACGCACGCGGTCCTCCACTGCCGACGAACGTGCCGTGCTGCACCAGGATTACAAGCATGACAAGATTGAGAACAAACAAAAGAAGAACTACTAGCAACAGCATGAATAACAAAACGAACAAGAACAGCAACAACAGCAACAAGAGCAAGAACAACAACAACAACAACACCATTATGGTTTGCGTGGTGTAGCCAAGGACTGTTTGTGTCGCGGAGTGGACGGTGATTATCAGACGCTGTCCGAAAATTCACCCTCCATCCGGAAGTCGATCAGAAAAAGAACCTTTGTGAATTTATAGACAGAAACCCAGTGTTTCCACCCGAATTCCTCATTTCAAATCCAAAGGTTTCACTGTATGCGCAATGTATGTGCAACAGATATGCATGTACATGTGCCGTAAAGTCTTGTATAAAAGCTGGACTGAATATAAGCCGTCCTCGAATAGAAGCCGCACTTTTGGAAACATCAAATCGCACACAAGCCGCCCTTGTATTGCAGCTGCGGCTTCAAATTGTGACACTACGCTCACTTCTAGGCCTAGTTCAGTAGATCGTACAGGCTACACTACAGCCATTGTCGCGTGTACAAGGTATTCATTTTATTGGGCGTTTAACGCACTCTCCACATACAGGCATGCAACCGGCTTAGAACACATTGTTTTCTGGTTGGCATATCAGGGATATTGGGCGGAGCAGCTGGCGTACATGAGAAAGACAGGTCGGCCTGCTCTGCGCAGGAGCTGTGACCCGGAGCACACATAGTGCGAGAGAGAGAGAGAGAGAGAGAGAGAGATAGAGAGAGAGAGAGAGAGAGAGAGAGAGACAGACAGAGACAGACAGGTCAGCCTGCTCTGGGCAGGAGCTGTGACCTGGAGCACACAGAGTGTGAACGAGAGACGGTCGGCGTGCCGTGGGCAAGAGCTGCGACCGCTAGTGATTGAAATGAGCCAGCTACGGAGATAGACTGCCCTCACCCGATACAAGTATATTGACAAAAGTTGTACTGACACTGTGATTGAGGAAAATATGGTGACGGTGACGGAGAGATAGTGATCCCCAGTCGAATGGGGTTGGGAGGGAAGGGGAAATTGACAACTGACGGACAAACCAGTGAACAGTCAAGTCGTCGGAAAACAGAAATGACAAAGGAGTTTTCTGCAAAGCAAGATTTGGAAAGCACGCGTGGGAGAGTGGCGCGCATGATGCGCATGTATAGCAATGATATCATAATCAGAGGATGCATGATCATCAGACTAAGTATGAGTGGCAGATGTTCCATGTTCGTTAACAGGGCTTAGCACACACGCTAAACCACCAATGGAAAAGGCGTACGATTTTGAGTGAAGTTTTTTTCGCGAAATTTACATCAAATTTGGCGTAAACTCCAAATTTCGACGTGGGCTGCAGGTCACTCGCGCTATTTTTCAAAGCGCGAGCCAAATAACGCCAGCTGAACTTTCGTATCATGTCAGAAATAACATGCATCTGAACCTCTCTATTGACGATAGATCACGTGCGGAGTTAGCTTCAAACCCAAATTACAGCTGCATGCTACCAAGAGTACATGTTGTGGTTATGTACTCTTGGTGTTACATATTGTACATGTAAACATGATGTTATGGCATCTACAACGTGTACATCGTAAGCATTCAATATTTTTTGTTTTTGTTCTTGTTGTTACTAGTATCAGTAGATCTGGTAATCATTCAAATACCTGTTTGAAGACTGGCACACTTCCACTTGCAAACAGCACAGCCGGCTTTCAGAGCAGTCCATGACTGGGCAAAGAGATTCTACAAAACTGCTTCAAGTGGCCTGGTAAACTGGTAACAGGGACAACCAGAGGGGAGAATTCGATTCACGCAAGCACATGCATACTGATGCTTCCAATCCTACTGCTTTGGCCTCACTGCCACTACTAGTACCAAGAGTAGATAAACATCTACTCTTGCTAGTACCTTGCGTGCAACGAGTCGACAGCGAAACAAATGTATCTCCGACTCCAGTAAAATGCCAACTATTTCGTTCTTGGCGACAGGAATCAGGATCATGAACTCGCATGTATCCACAAATCGTCGTAGGATATAATTCGAAAGCCGACAGTGAAAAATAATTGAAAAACCCGCCATTCGAATTTCGATCACAAAAAATACGTACATACAGTCAGGTCAATGAGGTCAGATCATGCACCCGCGAGATCATGCCGCATGGCATGATGCCGATGGGCCCGCGCTCGGTACGAGTCCGACCGACCTGGGCGCGGGACCTCCCCCGGCCCCGCGGGTACTGTCTGTACCCGTACCCAGCCAACAAATTTACAAAGCCATCCGCGACCCGGGTACCCCGGGTACGGGTACATACCGGCCGGGTACGGGTACATGGATCCGACTGATATGATCGGGTCTGATCTGAGTGATCGGAAAGGGAAGCGAAGTGCTGCCTAGCACATGCATGCACTGCATGCACATGCATGCAGTGCATGCAGGAGCTATCGATATATCCAGTATCCTGCACAGACGCGTAGATCTACGTCAAAGAGTCCGACTTTCCCGACGACTCAAATCGACCGGGATCATCTGGTCGTGCTGATTGTGTTTGGTGTTTTCAAGGCCCAAGCCAACGAAAGCTGGACGATCATCTTGACTTGACTTGATAGGGCAAGGAGGAAGGTGGAAGGCTCTTCAGTTCTGCTTCAGTCTGCACTACTCTTGTCAGAGTGCCGGTACCACCTACCGGTACTGTAGTTTCAAGTAGGATTGTAGAATGAAGGGTGGTCGATTGCCGCCTGGTAACACCTTCAAATCTGCCGAAGTATGTTTTTTTAATTTTTTTTCTTCCACGCGACCGCACAAAGTACTCAACGGCTTGTGTTTTGGTTGCTGCAGCTCAACGTGTCATGGAACCGTTTCACGAAATCACTTTCTGTTGCTGTTGAGGACTACCTCACTGCCAAACGAGTAAGTGGATTTGCTCTTCCTGTCAATCAAAATTGTCATTTTGTGGCGGGGAAGTGGAACAGCTCAAGACGTACTTGAATACAAGTGGGACCGTCTCGGACTGCATGCACATGTACATGTACATGTTCTACAGTTTGCCTGCTTGTTGTCAATCTTGTCTATCAAATCCCAGTGCTAGGTGTTTGGTCTGTAGAGAGGCCTGGAGGATGATAACGGAGGAGTAGAATGTACTGGGGGAGACGTTGGTTCGGTTGTTTGTTTGTGTAAAAATTCAAAATTAATCCAGCACCCAACGGACAAATCGTACGTGCAGCAGGCGTTGAACTCTTGTCCTCTAGATCACGACTACGGTTGAGTCTGCATTTGCTTTTTGTCCAGTAGATCTACGTTCGATGTTATAACTGTGCTGAGCACGCGTAATCCATGTCGCGTCTTGTAACCACACTCCTCCTGGCCAGTCATGGTCATGCCACAGACACATGCAAACAGATCTAGCCAAGGTCACCATAATGGCCATGTCAGTGAAGCTTGCCACTCGAGTCACATTCGTGCACGCAGGAGCCTGGACTGACTGTCAGGTTTTCAGGAAGTAGCGGTGATAATCTTGCTAACACCTTGATACATGTGTGGCATGCTTGGAGGAAGCCCGTGGCCACCAGCTGTTTGTTTCTAGTGCCACACCTGTCAGGTTGAACATGCACGTTCTATCTCGTGATGTAAATAATTTAATTGTGCACTGTACCAGCACTGGTATGAGAGTGATGAGATAAACTGTGGCTTCATGAAGTTCATCTGAAGAGAGACATCCTGGTTCTCTGTAATTATATCCGCATGGCGCTCCCGGAGACGATATACAGTTTAGCATCACGGATTTCGGTTTGCGAACTGGAAGTGCGATCAATCGCACTTTTTCTCAGAAAACCAGTCAGAGCACGAATCACGGGTCCGTGTCATGAAGTTACTTTCTTGTACTATCTGCACATACATGTACATGTAGGTATGACTTGTCAACATCATCAAGAGTACACAGCCCCAAGAGTGTCTAACTGCCTGCACACCATCTATCCAGCTCTGCGACCGCAGAACTTCACATCACGTGACATGGTTCACGAAAGGCGACGCTGGCAAACAGTGCAAGGTGACCACAAGAGAGCTGAACCCAAAGCATCTATCAGACATAATTTGTACAATTTTGTCATGTGATGGGAAGTTCTGCCGTTGCAGACCCCATAGCTGGAGTTGCACGCTCTTGACACAGGGTTCTAGCCAGGTCACAATAGTGTGTGTGTGTGGGGGGGGGGGGGGGGCAGGGGAGACAGTACCCCCAAACCCATTTTCCAAAATTGTCTTTCCATGCAAAATGCACCGCACAGGGGGGGGGGGGGGGGGGGTTGAACCCCCGACTTCACTCCAGACAAGTGTGCCTTTATGAACCCTCTGTTACTGACTATCGACTGCATTTTCGTTGAATGGCATAAAAAACACAAAAATCGACAAATGAGTAGGGGCGACACTTTTTAACGGGAGGGCTCTCAGGGGGCGCTGCGCCCCCTACTCCACTTTGTCTAGAATCCTGCTTGATGTCATGCAAGCGAAATATATTTGCTAATCCTTACCGCAACGCGAATTTCGTCACTGAGTTCAACTTTCATCAGCAAATAAATAAACTCCCGAGTCAACGTGGGTTCACTCTGACCACAGCGACTTGCAGTCCGAGGAAGCTGAGACGCTCCATTCCTCCTTTATTCCCAATCGAACTCGCGCACTTCCACCGAAACTGGGTGACTGCGCCCTACTAGATGGCGATTTGTATGCAAAATGTCACTAAAAGTGCCAGTTCGTTCTTATAAAAAGCACGGATGACCGCGATTGGCCCATATATTGTAGTCTTTTAGACGCTGATTTGACTGGTTTTGGTCCGAGAATGCTGCGATGCAGCGTTCCTCCTTTATTCCCAATCGAACATGATTGAACAACCGGTCACGTGCTCCTGCGTGCCAAAGTCACCTGGTCACCGCGCCAGCAGGCGACAACTTTCACACCAAGGTTCAATTCGTTTGACTGGCATGCACCCCAAAAAGGTCAAACAGGCTGTAAGGCGTACCCTGCAGGCGCTAGGCTGGGCACGGTGACTGGTGTACGCAGAAGCACGTGACCGCTTGTTCAACCATGTTCGATTGGGAATAAAGGAGGAACGCTGCATCGCAGCATTCTCGGACCAAAACCAGTCGACTCAGCGTCCAAAAGACTACAACATATGTAGCGCTTTTAGTGACATTTTGCATACAAATCCCCATCTAGTATGGGGCGCAGTCACCCAGTTTCGGTGGAAGTGCGCGAGTTCGATTGGGAATAAAGGAGGAATGGAGCGTCTCAGCTTCCTCTAACTTCCCCTTTTACTGCGCACATCCGTTTTCCACAAAAAATATTCGGATAGGCGAGGGAACCGGGTAATCGAACACACATACTGTATGTATGCATGACATATGCTGTAAATCGGTTAGCAACGACTTTCTTCCGGATTGCGAGGGATCCGCATCAAAGAGGACCGGATAAGCGAGGTCTGACTGTACCAGAAGGGTCCAGTCACTACTAGCGTATGTGCCACCTTTAATACTGTGGAGGGAGACTACCCAAATGAGTATGCATTCGTACCGCGGCATCTGGATCTAAAGGACCAATCTACCCTAAAACGAAGCAGGGGTCCATCAATGGCCATCAGGGAGTCGTAGCATCACCCGGGGTCAGAATCCGGAAGGTTTTTGCTCTCCATTCAGTAGAGCCTACATGTTCGAGGTGTGCAGCCCTGCTGAAACGCGCCGTAGATTACATCTCTGGACCCGGCAGAACCACTGCCCCTAGCGGTGTGTGTGAAAAGAAACGGAGGACATATATCCATATCAAAGTGACCAGAGTGGCATTCCATCCGCTCGAAGAGGCAGGTGCATACATTGCACTTGAGGAATTAAATAATACAATCATGTACATCATCATCATCAGGGAGTAACTTAGTAAAAAAATTAAAAAAATTACGATTCCCTGATGTACATGCAGTAGCCCCACTTGAACATGCCCGGCTCTGACCCGGCTCTGACCCGGTTGCAAGAACTGCGCCAGGTACACGTGTACCCGGTTGGTTTGAAATCCTAGAGGCTAGAACAGACACTGTTAGTGGTGGTGTGCATATTGAGACAACGCCGGAGTGGAGAAGTTTCTGGGAAACCCAGCGGTTGACAAGTCTACACAAAAGGCTGAACATATTCCTGCTACGGAATGAAAGCAGAAAGTCCGTCGTGTGTTACATGAGTGGAGGAAAGCTGTTTTGCTACCTCTGTAATCATGGTAATCAGGTAGTTGACCAGTCGTAAAAGAGAGGGGCAGAGATGGAGAGAGACATCACAATGGCTTTTGTGCATGCGGACAATCCAGATAATATATTTTTCCGTAAGAAGTAGCGGGTGTCTCCACCCAACTACTTTCTACAGTGGAAGCTGCGAGATACCCTCAAAGTTAATTCTCACTATTTTTCCCATTGTCACTTTCCATTTGTGTGGCCGTATGTGCGTTCTGTTTGTTTCCAATGGTGCAGCTTGAGCTCTCCCACAATATCAGCACATGGCAGCAATGGATGTTTCACCTGCCGCTTCGATCACTACTGATCGCCTCACTGCCGTTCCTGACCTATCTCCTTTTCTTCGCCAACTACACAGTGCTGCGGCATTACTCGGGCCTGGATAGCATCATAGCCCCCAATGTGCACATACTGCCTAAGCTAGAACAGATGCTATGCTTTGGCTACCTGCCCCACCGGGTGTTGTCCTCGTTCGCCCATCCCCTGTTCGACGTCCTCGCCGCCATCCCGTACCTCATACATTTCCCGTTGCCCTTTCTCTACTTTTTCTGGCTGTGCATGCGACGGCAGCACCTGGTGCTGCAATACACCTGGTTGGCCGGATGGCTGAACCTCACCGCTGTCATTATCCAGTTTGTCTTCCCCACTGCTCCGCCATGGTTTGCGGACTCGGCCGTGTTCGACAACTCCAACCGGCTGATCAGCTCACTGCCCAACGAGGCAGCATTTCAACGCACCGACGCCATACTGGGCATAGACATATTCCATGGGATATATTCCAAGTCGCCCGTCAAGTTCGGCGCCTTCCCGTCGTTGCACGTCGCCTGGCCGGCGCTGATAGCTGCATTCGAGCCACCGTTCGGATTCTCACTGGCCGCCTTGCACGTCGTGTGGATCACATTAGCGGCGCTCTACTCCACCCATCACTATCTTGTTGACGCTCTCGGCGGCGTTTGCCTTGTTCTCCTGCTCAAGTACTGCGTCAGAATCACCAATCCGTTCGTCTTCAGTACACGCACGATACACCGGTGGACAGTCGCCGAGAGAATCTAGACTTGTACTCAAATTTCCTCCTCCTCCCCCCCCCCCCCTCCGTCTCTTACTTACTCAGTACGTGCCTCTGTACTCACATAATGGCACCCTTATCCAACCCCGCACCACATCATACTAGTATGTGCCCCGTCGTCAATCATTCCATAATAATATTTCTAGTATTTCAAATTAGCGTCACAGAACAGATTTTTTTCTACCCAGCCATTCGGGATTCCAAAGTCAGTAAAGAACTAAATACTTTTGCATGCGGCATCAACCATACCTAATTATGAAATAGAATCCATGCTATTTATTATACTTGAATTGTTTGCAGGCAACCTGCCTACACTCAAGAGAGCACTGCATTTCACACAAATCCATTGGTATCGTTACAACGTTTCGGTCTGCTATTTATTATCACTATATTAATCATGGTCGTTCATGATTGACTTATGTTGTAGTGTCAGCTGTTTGTTCAAGTTTTTGTTACCATTGGCTATTTACGATTACCACTGTGCGTGTGACTATCTGATGGGTGTCAAGCCCCACAGTACATTACCCGACATGTGCTCTCTGCTCGTGTGATTCAGGCCAGGGTTGCTTTGTGCCGCTTCTGGTAAAGGTGGAAGCAGAAAGCCGTACGACTCCCTGGTTGGAAGGGAGATCATGAGCGAGTGGCCAGTGTTGGTGTGTGTATCACTATGTGTAGATGGGTGAGTGAGTGGCCAGTGTTGGGTGTGTATATGTGTAGATGCATGACTGGGGATGCCTCATCTCTCTTCACTTTGGTAATTCATCGTACGCGGCCCATATCCCTTGAAGGCCATTTTATTGGCCTTTTAGGGGCTCCACCTTTTCAATACTGTACATGCAGTGTGATATGCTGCAGTATGGAGTGCAGGCACTGGCAGCACTGAGCAGTGCAAGTATGAGATGTTGTTAGGCTTGAATAGCCCATACAAAAACGGTATAAACAACAACTCTTGCCCATCTCAAAACCTCAAGCCATACCAACAAGAGTTCATAACCCATGCCCGGGGGTTATGAACTCTTGATACCAAGATATCCAGCCTCGTACTAGTCGTAGATCTACGTCGACGTACTGGTACATGGCATGATAGACTCTCTGTTCATCAAAAGTCTCTTGTCTCTTGACTCTTGTGACCATGGTGACGTTGTGTTCAGATCAGGCCAGGGAGTAGTAAAAATACTACTCCCTGGTTCAGATCATGTGCGTGTACGACCTGGTCATGGCCTGGGTCACGATTTGGAATTCTGACATGTCACATGACAATCGACATGGCAACAGCGAATCCTAGCGCGACTTGCCGTGCTTTGAATCAGCCACTGAAGACCTGTGCACATGTGAGCGCTTGCAGGTCTCCGATTGAATCGGAGCACGCCTAGGCGTGCTCCGATTCAGCCATCGTGCAATGCATGTCAGAAATGGTATCAAAGCATTCGTACTCGGACTCAAGTGCTAGAATCGGAGCCCTCCGCGCTAGCGCGCGTCGGGCTCCGATTCCGCACTTTCGTCCTCGTACTCATGCTCGATTCCATACGTCAATCTACTCACGGTGGACTTTGACGTCACCATAATCATTGAATGTGAACTGCAATTTCACTTCAATCAGTGTATTTTCCATAAATTGTTGAACTCATTGCACTGCTGTGATTCTTCTCTGAGTCGTTGCTGCATCCTGGTCTTGTGAAGGAGAGTTAGTAATAGTGTGCTGGAGAATTATGTGTAGTATTCATGCTGATGATGAGCTCGGCGCTGCCGGCGTTGGAGATCCAGCGCCGGTTGAACGTCGTGACTCAATGGCATTGCAGCAGAAGTGTCGCAAATGTACCAAACCAGCCTTGATAGCTGTGCGAACCAAGGAATGCTTCTGCCAGTAAGTAACTGTTGATTACAGATAAATATAAATTCATTATTGTTGGGCCAGGCCTCCCTGATTGCTGTGCAAGAAAGGAAATTTGTGAATTCCCTTCACTTTCAATTTCTCTTCAAAAGTTCACAACTTCACCATAATCTCTCTTTGTCACAAGGAAAAGAGTTGTGAGTGAAAGACGTAAAGGTTGGAGTCATTTGGTTATGTATTACAGAAATCTTTCTGGACTCCGCGGGTTATTGCTGTGGCATCTTTTCGCTTTGCTAAAATGATAGGAACATTCATTAATTTTATTTACAAAAGTATTCGTATCTGTGGGCTGCAATTTACAAGTACATGTATGTTCAGCGAGGCAAAGTCAATTACTTTCACTGCCAGTACTTGTACAAGGGACACGTGCACAGTATAATTCTATGGAGAGTCTTGATTTAGGCTATGGCCTGTGTAGAATCCAGAAATACAAAATAAATACAAATATGCATAAGTCTGAGGGACTGAAACATACACAATTAATACAAATAAATATAGGGTATTTATCAGTAGAAGGAGTTGTACTGTATGATAAGCTACAATGAAACAGTTTATTGTAAACTTCCCTGGATATGATATAAAATTTAAAAAAAGGACCAAAAGTGTACAAGTTATCCGTTTTGTCCAACACTAAGCAGACGATGATGATGAGATCATGAAATTCAACGACCTGATGCTTAGCTGCATCACGTCTAGAATGCGCAAACCAGCAGCCTTCCAACTTGGAACATCAGTCGGTTTTGTGCTAATTGTTGCACACTTTTGACTAAACAGTATTAACCGTTAGTGTTGGACAAAACGGATAACTTGTAAACTTTTGGTCCTTTTTTAAATTTTAATCCTTGGCTCTCCATCCGTGGATATGATATAATATGGGATATATTTTGAACTTGGATGGTGAGCCCATGTACTAGTAATCATGGATAAAAAGGAAGGACAATATATTACGAGTTATGACTAACTGTCCCACAAAGTAACCAGATTATATACAGTCAGCGAGTGCGGTTGTTGGTTTGCGCCTCGTAGATGTGTTTTGACGTTGCGGGTCAGTCCCGACGATGGGTGACTGGCCCGAAACGTGGTAATTTTTCAACATCACAAGAGAATATTCAATGCAGCACATGTGCAGATTGTGAATGGCAACTGAATGGAGCGATTGTCAGTTGACAAACACCCTTTTGTTTGATAATGTAGTTGCGTGATGTCCACAAATTCCTTTTTATCCATGAGATATATTAAAAGTGCCATTTTTGAGGACCCTGCCGTATGCTACACCAGTTATTTGGCCTCGGATACACAGTAGCTCAGCTATACCTGATACAGATCTCTGTAGCCCTTTGGAGGTATGCAGTACTGAGGTATGACGAGTAGGGATCTGTTGCAGCGAATGCTGATCTTTTCACGTCGTATCATGACACGTATTGTCCCCGGGGAAAATCGCAGAAAAAATCCCAGAATTTGCGGTGTAATTTGCGGGTAAACATGGCATAATTTGCGGTAAATATGCGGTGAATATTGATATGCGGCAAGTTTGCAGTCAAGCGCAGAGCAGGGTGCTTTCAGCGCCACCGGTGCACCACAGTGACCGGGGAGCCTGTCATGTGCCATGTGTATGCTAGGGAGCGCGCGCCCTACACGTAGACTCTCTACTTGACCAGTTTGTGACGTCAACGGCTCACAACGGTCAACCGAACAGTACACGGTGTGTACGTGTAGTGCAGCAAAAAGTTCAAAAAACGCGGGGAAAATCGCGGGAAAAAACGCGGCCGCGGAATCGCGATTTTCCCCGGGGACAGCACATACACGTATAAATCCTCATCTTGATCTCGTTGCCAGTCTTGCTTGCAAGCACTGTCAAGCGTTTATTACCCCGAGAGTGTGCAACTCTAGGCTATGGGGTCTGCGTCTCTGCGATGGCAGACCTTCACATCACGTGACCAACCTGTACACATTATTTGCGCCCTGTGCACGATTGACCCTGCTTTGGGTTCAACCAAGAGTACATAACCCCCCATGAGTGTGCAACTCCCGCATACTACAGTTGTGATTGGTGAAATCCGACCCGACGTGTGAATTTAGCGCCCTCAACTTGCACGGCCCTTGGCGCCCTGGAAGTGGTACGAATACGGCTGGACGCACACATGTACATGTACAGTGATGTAATCGGAACTGGTCCAGGATGCCAGCTTTGCACTTTGGGTTGGATATCAGTGAGCGCAACTGTAGTACCGTGGTGTCCCGGCAGAATTTCAGGTTGACGTCATTTGTATGATGCGATGCTCCTTGCACCAGTGATTTACGACAGTTGTGCGGGATGCCAATGGATCACGCGTGTTTCCTTGGTCTAGTTTGTACGGGATCAAATGGGGCCTTGTCCACCACATGTCCAGGACACTTCTGATAGCGTGTGTATACCGCAATACGTATTGCTTCATAAAAATGACGTCAACTTGAAATTCTGCCGGGACAGCGCCCATAGTCAAGTTGCACACTCTCTGTTGGTCCAGAGTGCAGCACTGATGGTTTGCCAGGCGTCCAGCCGCAGCCGGACCGGAACCAATGGCCACCGCTAACTACATTGCCTAGTCCCAGACTCAAATACTGTAATCTTTTTCTCTTCTTTTTGTTGCGTTGCTGCTGCTGGTGTATGCAGAGAATGTTTCCTGTTGCAATGCCGTCAGAAGTTCCGAACAACATTTGGCAAGGCCAGGCTTATCCACAAGGGAGATACGGTAAGGTTTTAGTCGTGTCACTAGTACTACGCCACTGTGCACATGTTGGGGCTTTGCTCATAATCACAGTGATACACAGGTGAATAGTAGCCAGGTGTTACGGGGACAAGCTATGCTGCGACATCACTGGTGAGAGAGGACCGCGTACCGCCATCGTTTAGAATGGTGTTGGCTTTGACCGGTTTAAGCCCATTACACACACACACACGCACACACACACACACTCACACACACACACACACACACACACACACACACACACACACACACACACGCACGCACACACACCCGCTCACACACACACATACATACACACACACACACGCTCTCACACACACACACACACACACACACACACACACACACACACACACACACACACACACACACACACACACACAGAGCACACGCTAGGCTCGGCACGGGAGGAATGAACCTACTCGGCTCCTTCCATTCCTGGTTCTTAAAGTAGTAAGCAGTGATCTGGTAGAAGTCCTCTTCTTCCATGTCAATGGCAGCATCCAGTGCAACATGCTCCTTGGACGTGCTGGATGAGGCCTGCACGCCCACGAACTTCTTTTTCTTTGCTGGACGACCACTCTGCACCGGATTTTCTCCCCCATCTCACATGACATACAAGGACTGATTTTGGGTTGCTTTAAGTTTAAGCCATTGGCGGGCAACCCGAGGCCTAGATGTTGCACTGGATGCAGCGATTGCACTGCACTCACTGGATGACGATGTTGAGCCGGTTGTAGAGACTTTTATTCATTTATTTATTTATTTTTTCAGCTAAATCTCAGAGCGTATGCATAGCAGCGCTGGTATGGGGAGCAACCCCAGAGATGAGGGCGATACCCAGCCATGGAAAAAGTACAAAAAAGAAAGGAGAGAGAAAAAAAAGAAATAAATGGAAAGAATGGAACAGGGAGGAAAGCAAAGCTCAGCCATTTTAAAAGACACTTTGGTAATACAATCGGTAATTACGTCGTATAGTTAAACACCTGTGAGTGCTGCAGGAAAACACAACTCACGGCAAACAACTTGACGAAACCGAGACGTGCTGTGGCAATGATGGGCGGCTAGACTTGATAGCTTGAGCCAGTCCGAATAGGAATGAAACAGAGGGGATTTCGTAAACTGGACAGTACGGGCTGCAGGTAGAGAGACTTGGCCCTTGTTGGTCGGCTCCGCACAAACCAGTCGTAGGGCAAAAGATGCATTGGGTCCTCTTTAAGTTTTGTTTTTTTAATCAGCATGTTGCTGTAGAGACTGCATCGACTAGAAAGGGGGCAAACATGAGCGAGACCATAGTGATGCAGGGGAGAAATCGCGAGGCAAGCAAAATTGAATTTTTTTAATAACTTTCGTTGGCAAACCTCGAACTTGTCTGCTATCGTGGTTGACAAACCACACCAGGCTATGTCATGTCACAGTAATGAAAGATTGGACAAATATACACAGAGAAAAACAGAGATGTACAATTGTGAGGCAGGTAACGGCAGTGAGGCTTCAGAGTTCCTAAATGTCTGGATGCTTTAAGGCAAATATGGTCAGCATGTTCGGACCATGTTAGCTGCGAGTCAAGAACGATTCCCAGGTGCTTATGAGACGTTACTATTTCCAGGGCCTGTGTACAGTTCGGGAACGTCAAAGGCACAGGTGGTGGAGATGCAGGAATATACAATACTTTCGTTTTCTGGACATTGGGCTGTAGCTTCCAGATTTTGCACTGAACTTGGTACGAGTGGCTCTACACGATGCACAAAGATACGTTGGATGAATTTCAGGGTCACCCAGACGTGTATCTGTGCTGTAGCAGCGAGCTGTGTCCACACTATAGTCCTTCACGAGGTACACTGACGCTACCCTACCAGAATATCTGCGATGCAGCTTGCCTGCACACAAGCGGCACAGCTGGGCAAGGTTTTCATGGGCTCCTCCATCCTGATGCATCAATAAATACACGACACGCGGTAGGGGTACGCAAAAAACTGTTCATGCTTTCAAGCTGATTCTTCTCAATGAGCAGCACAATAGCCTTACCTCCACGAGAAAACTTGTCGATGTTGTGGCAAAAGGCCAGAAACAAGGCTGAGTCACGTCAAGGTGTTCTATAACCAAAGTGAAAGCTGCTGTCACGAACTATCCAGGGCGGATCAAGAAGATGAGAGAGACGTGCAAAAAAGCCAAGGACAGCTCAAGCTCTGGATCGCGGCAAGGACATAACCTTACCTGGCGAACCGGATCGATTTTACCAATCTCTGGTTTAATAAGGCAAGGTTACCTGGTGGGTTTTGCTTGACGATCTGGCATCTTGTCCAACCACTTGCTCAAGAGCTGCACTGTGAGTAGTGGTGGTGCTTTCCTTTTGAGTACGACGCCGCTTAGCACTAGGAGCATCGTCTTGCTTGCTCACACTTCAAAGCATTCAAATGGCAGTATGTTTGGAGCTCCTGTTCCTTCAGACTTGCCCTCCTTGTTGCTGCAGGGCTGGGAATTTACATGTTGCACAAATGTGCCACGAAACCCCTCTTTTGATCGTGGCAATACATCCGTTTCCATGGCATGTCTTTATCAATGTTGTCTATCGACACAAAACTGATGGTGTCTAGCTGCATTTCAGCCTGAATTCCATTCCTCTGGCGTTGGTCAACCACATGCATTTTATACCGGCTGAACGTATCTCTGCTGGCGGTAATGCCCAGCCTTAGTGGGGTGGACATGCATCCTTTTCCATGGCATGTCTTTATCAATGTTGTCTATTGAGACAAAACTGACGCTGTCTAGCTGCATTTCAGCCTGAATTCCATTTCTCTGGCGTTGATCAACTACTTGCATCTTGTCCCGGCTGAACGTATCTCTGCTGGTCGTAATGCCCGGCCTTAGTGGGAAAGGACTTGTGAGCAGAGTTGGGCTTATGAGTTTCAGAGCTGTAGAGCATCACAGGGCTGCTGTTTGTGAGGGAGGGGGGGGGGGGGGGGGGGCATTCCATGTGTAGATTCTGAATGCTGTACCTGCTTTGCTGTCCTGTGAGCGATCCCGTCTCGATGCCTTCACTGAGACTATGAACATGTGTGTGTGTGTGTATGTGTGTGTGTGTGTGTGTGTGTGTGCGCGCGCGCGCGCGCGCGTGTGCGTGCGTGTGTGTGTGTGTACGCGTGTGCGTGTGCATGCATTTGACTTACATGTGTGTGACAGGCACTTCTAGCGTACTCTGGCGGGGTAGCTTCCTCCACACTGCTAGGTCTCTCCAAGGAGGTAAGTGGCAGGCGAGCAACATCGTTGCTGTAACCAACCTAACCTATCAACCCTGGTCTTGATCATTTATACAAGTTTTCCACGCATTTAAATTTCAGCCTCCCGGGGCTAAAACACATTTCGGCCGCATTTAAATTTCAGCCTGTACTGCTGCTGCCTGTATGCAATCTCACATAGAGCCTTCTAAACAAAAGTTTAGCCGCAGCAAATTTTAGGCTAAAGATGCTCAGGCCGATAATTGCCGAAAATAAATGTGCGCCGAATATTTGTTGACTTACGGTATCAGACACGTTGTGCAGTCAATCCGTACTCAATTTGCCTTCAAGCAGACCCGAGCTCCACACAAAAACCTACCAAGTGTGACCTTAGTATACTGAGGTTGTCACACCGTACAAACTTTGTTGCACTCTGCCACACGACTTTCCTTTCTCTGGCTGTAAAATCAAGGTGGGGCGCTCTCGCGAGAGGGGGCGCTCTGGCGGTATTTTACGGTAACTACAATCCCGCTGAATGAAATCCAGTCGCGTCGCTCAAGTTTGCGCCTGGTACCGTTTCGCAGCCCATTGCTCGCAGATCTAGGGCTGCGCAACGCCCGGCGTGTACTTGCCCGGCGTGTACTTGAGTGACGCGACTGGATTTCATTGAGCAGAACTGTAGTATGTCTCCATGAGTGACTGTATGTGCGTCACATGTATGTACATAGTGCTTGCTTGCAGGGTGATCTTCGTGTGTTCAATCTGTGTCCTGCATGTGTTCAGGGTCTCAGTGACGCTGAGCAACGCAAGCTGCGCTTTGTCCCGACTGTGTGTTATGTGGACGGTAAGTGGGTAGCTTTTGTAGGTAACAGTTACTGTACATGCAGAACATTTCGTCGGTCAATAATTGCGTCAAACTCCAAAGAAAGGGAGTTTGTGTGGTTGAAAATTTCGTCCATGGATCATAAGAGTGTACAGTCAGACCTCGCTTAATTAACCGCACACGTCCGTTTTCCACGAAAATATCCGGATAGGCGAGGGAACCGGTGTTCGGTACATCTGTAACCAGCTATTTTCTTCCTGATGGCGAGGGATCCGGATAAAAGAGGACCGGATAAGCGAGGTCTGACTGTATTAAAAATCTGGACAAATCGACATTAGTCTGGCATTTAATTTAGTCCAAAAACTCCTTGGACGAAAAAGATGAAATTAAAATTTCAGACGAATATTTCTGCTTATACAGTACTGGCTGTACAGTGTAGACAATGTACAGACCAGGGAGTTGATTGGGACACTTTCAGACAGCCTTTCATGAGCAAAGCGCTGCACGAATCCATCTCGTTTTAAGATAACAGTGAAACGTGTCTACGCCGACCGCTCATAGGACCTTTCGAAAAGTGATCGCTGCGTGCAGGTGGTTGCCTTATCCTGTGCTATTTGACTGGAAATAACGTCCCTTGGTCCTAGTTGCAGTGTCCTCTTGGACAGGCGGTTGCCTTATCAGAGTGGTCACCTTCTACTGTATCTTGACCTGCTGCATTTGTTTCATGGCCTGTTTGGCTGTTTGTTGTGCCCGTGCGATATAGAATCCTGCGTACACGGCTGGTCCGACAATGAGCGACGTCGAACGCTGGGTAGTGTGCACCGCGTGCTGTTGGACAGTGGCTTCCCGTTCTGTGTTCTGCCTCTTGAACTGGTACGGCCTTGAATTACTGGTAGTGGCATGTGCTTGTTCAGGTGACCCTTCTTCTGGATCATTGTACCGTATTTTACGGGCTCGGGGTCGTTCCTGTATATTAATTTTTTAATTTTTTACACCAATATCACTCCTGTCGCTTTTACATGCACAGTCAACCTTGCGAACAACGACCCTCGACTGGCCATGAGAAAAGTTTTGTTGTTCGCAAGTTGTGGTTACAATATAGTCGCAAGGTTTAGTATGCCGTCAAGTGGGTGTACTTACCATACTAGTTTATTGTTTCCAAGGTGCTTTATACTGAACAGTTGTTTCACCGTACAAAGTGTCTATGCAGGGCAGTCTAAATTATTTTTTATAGATATTTCTTCTACTCTGTGTTAAGACCCTAAGCTTGTGAGAACTAAGAGGGCGCTTGGCCTGTTGGGGTCCCCTAGCCTTGGTTGTATGTTGCACTCATGTTGTTTGGTTTGACCCGGACTGGAAGTAGTTTGTAGGGCTTTTCATGGCAAGTGCAACAGTGCGATGGCTACTGTAAAACATGATGAATATAACGAGGAAGTAAAACGTTTTAACGAGCGCCATTTCTTCATTATGATACATTCTGTTGAGCCTACTACAGTCCATTCATTGGAAACTGGCACCCTAACTTTTTGGTGTCTCTCTCACATAGTTGTAGATATCGTGAAAACAACAGTACATCCTGCATTGTGTGACCCGTGCAATTACTCCTTGCCACATTTGAGGCCAGAAAAGTCCAAGAAGAGGGAAATAGAAATTCAGCCAGGTTTTACAAAATTAGGACAGGTATGCCATGGCAAAATGCATGGAGAAGCAGATCCAAAACCCAGATTTTTGAGATTTAAAGTGGGTTTTTGATCCTCAATTCGGCCCAAATCCGACTTTCAAAAGCCAGCGGGCCAGTTTCCGATGAATGGACTGTAGTATACGACATCACATGTGTTGTGTGCGTATATGCCTGAAGACTGCAAGATCGTTAATGTATCTTCTCGCTAACCTATGGGTTTTGGACAATCGTTAAATTTGTGACTCGTTATAAACCTGTCTAAGCCGACCGCTCATGGGACCTTCGAAAAGTGGTCGCTGTGTGCAGGTGGTCGCCTTATCCAGGGTCATTGGACTTGAAATTGTACCCCTTGGTCCTGGTTGTAGTGGTCCTCTAGGACAGGTGGTTGCCTTATCAGAGTGGTCACCATGACAGGTTTTACTGTAACATGTCTTACGGTATGTATTCTCCCCGTGTGTATGTATGCTTCACTGTGTAGGTATTCTTCACTGTGTATGTATGCTTCACTGTGTAGGTATTCTGCGAGGACGGCAATATTGAGCAGTACTTTACACGCGCTGTAGTCAGTCCACAGCTACCGGACGCAGCGTCCGATGCGGCCGCCGCCGGTGCTGAGGAGGCGGGTGAGGAGCGCCACTGTCAGCAAGGCATCGAGCCAGTGCCGCTGCCGCCAGCACTTCCATCGGAGCGCTCCCGTCTTGTCGACTGCGTGGCGTCGTGCAAAAGCCTGACGGCGAAGGAAGACCTGGTGTCGACTCTTCGGTAAGCATACCTTCCCTCTGTCACTTGTGCAATGTTGATCATTGTGTGTTTGCTGGCATGAACAGCAGAGCTGGGTCTAGCGCAGGTCCAGGCAGCTGAAATCCAAACCATGGCGTAGATCTAACAGGTGGCAATTATAATCCAACCCCTGGTGTAGGTCTACACGGGTGGTATTTGAAATCCAATCCCTGGTGTAGGTCTACACGGGGGTAATTGAAATCCAACCCCATGACTGTCATTGTGTGTGCATTCTAGCAGTGTGATTGCTTGCATCTCTTGTGGCTGCTTTCTCCCGTTCAGAGCGCGCCTGCTGTCTGCCATCGCCGCCTGTGGTCACTTTGATTGGGTATGTAACAAAATAACTTTCCGTGTTCTCGTAGCTACAGTTGCGCTCGGTGAAATCCGACGCCCGAAGTGCACAACTGACGCCCTGGACCAGTTCCGATTACATCGTTGTATTTGTACGGGTGTACGTCCAGCCGCAATCGTGCCACTTCCAGGGCGTCAAAGGCGTGTGAGTTGAGGGCGCCAAATATTTCGCCGAGCGCAACTGTAGAATATCTACCGTATGAGTCGCCACTGTCCTTTGCTTGGATTTTTGTATCTGAGTTTAGTAATCAGTGGCATGTGTTTGCTTCTTCCAGTGCTTGTCTTGACACACCCACACACTCGTGTACACTGTACACTACACACTGTACAGCGAAGCAGTCCAGTGTGCTAGTAGTAGTGACTTTGCAGCTATCCATCACATGAACATACGGGACAGCCATGTTGATTCCAACTCCACTCAACCCCCTGCATCTATGGGTCACATTATGTCGGCCATGTTGGTTCCACTGTCCACATGCCATGATCACTTTCTACACACGTTTAGTCACATGACAAACTGATGTGAAACCATTCTGTAAAGTTCAGTGGATATATAAATAACATAATTTTCTCTTTGCATTGGATAGAACGTACCTCTCACTGCATTCATCTTCACACTTGCATACATTCACCCACACGCATGCACCCACACGCACGCATACACGCACCCACACACCTTTGGATGCCCATTGCTCCGCGCAGTAATAGCATCAGAAGTTGCAGTACCGTATCTCCTGTGCCGAGTCTAATCATTGGGCCGACTGAAGTCCCTGCCACTGCTGCGAATGAACATTCTAGGCTTTGGAACAGCCGGCCGGGCACGATCACGAATGAGGCGCTAGTCTCTTCTGTTCTGTGCTAAGAAGCACCAGTTGCCTGTCACGCACCGGGCACTCAGGTCCTCAGCGGCGATGTCCCTCCAGTCCGATGCTTCTTGGGACCATGTCTGGGCATTGTGTTCAGACCCTCAGCAAACAGAACACGCCTGGGGATCCGGGAATCTTCCTTTCGCCCAAGGTGGCCAAGCCGGTGTAGACAGTGACAGCGCACGGCCCCTGCCATTGCCGACCATCAGAACGTAGCCTTGATACATGTACACACAGCACCATGTCCCTGGAGACAGCGACGTGTTGCGGAAGATGGAGCGCTTGGGTTGCAATGAAGCCGAGATCCTATGGACGGTCAAGCTGCCCCTGCCTCTCCCCCACTCCTGCCATTCCATATGTCTCATCGCTGCCTTGCTGCTTTGTGCCGTCAAATGGTGTGTGTGTGTGTGTTTTTGTAAAAAATAATGGGGTCTACTAGGCTACCGAACGCGGGCGCGCGCTCCCTTTGCCAGACGGGATGCGATTTCCAGATCCAGTGGACCATCCGCACTGATGTTGCTTCCAAGGTAAGTGAATTCATCCTGGCAACTGATAACGTCATCACCACCGAGGACAGAGAGATCCGCACACACCCGACCTGGTCCAACCGACATTGCCTTGGTCTTGGTGATACTGACTGTGAGGCCCCGGTCAGCCGCGGGTGAGATGAATTCATTGGCCATAACTTAGTGCACAGATTCTCATGGGAGGTGGTGTACAGCACGGCATCATCGGCATAACTCCGTTGCATCAAGCTGCTCAAGGCGACTCTTGGCTGTGCGGTCACCGGCGAGCTTGCGACCCATACAATAGCGCAGTGGGAAGCCAGGAACAGAGGAAACCGCCTGCCAGTGGGCCACAACAGCTGCAGAATAGATGATAGGAGCAAGTGTGCAGCCCTGACGCAAACTGTTTCGGACCTCAAACTCAGACAACTTGCCATTGCCAAAAGGAACTTGGGCGAGCATACCGTGATTGTGAGCAAGGACTGAATCGAAGACAACATCCAGTGAGGAACGCCTAATTTCTCCAGGACCACAGATAAACACAGGCAATAACCTCCAAACCATTCTTAATCTCTTTGTTGTCTTTACCCTTTGGCTCATATTCCTCCACATTCTCTACAAAATCATTCAAGCTAGCTTCCGTTCTTTCCAACAATTCCTTTAAGATCTTCGCCGACTGTCGTCTCCTCCTGCAGTTCTTCGTACAGGAGCTTGAGAGCACGCTTGCTGGTCTGGATAGCCGTCGGCAATCTTGTGTCGCCCATTTTCACAACTCAAACCCCAAAGGGCGAGTCAACCAGGAGCAAGGCTCGGTTGGGGGCAGTGGCGAGGAACTAGGAAGCAGGTTTCGGCACCATGTCACTAACCGGCACAAACCCGCAAGTGCACAGTTAGGAGATGAGTTGATAACTGATTTATTTGCTCGGACTGAAAGAGAATTTGTACGATAAGTGAATACAACAGTGCGTGGCAGTGCAACATCGTACGGAGCACGCGCACATCATTATTTTGGGAGAGCAGTATGCAGCAGTTGGGAATAATGTGAGCTCTGGCTGTGTAAACCTAGAGGCTACAAACTGTGGCAGAACTTGTCGTACAGAGTTCACAGTACAATATTTACCGTATAGACTAAGAGAGAGCTACAAATTGCTGCAGTGCCGAAATAAGATGAAGTCTTTAGAACTAAAACGTGTGAAATGGCAAAGAGCCTTTCGTAAATCTACGAAAAGCACATACAAATTTGACGCATGCTCGAGGGCCTTCTCTCCAAGCTGCCGTGCACCAAAAAAAAACACATTAACACAGCCACGTCGTCCCTTGCGGAAGCCACATTGCGTTTTCTGGCAGAATTCAATCTCCTCAAGACGGTCCTGAATGATCCGTGCGAACAGCTTGCCTGCAATATCCAGTAGACTAATGCCACACCAGTTGTCACATACGCGGAGGTTGCCTTTCTTGGGAATAGGGACACCGTGCGCATATCGCCAATCACTGCGAATACATCCAGGTGACCATTCCCGCACCATCAGTTCGTGAATGCGATACTGAAGAATGTCACCTCAACAAAGCACAGGTCCCGGGAGAATGCAAGATTGACCAGTCGCGGTAACACGCACAGACACACGTGAACACACACACACACGAACACATGCAAACACACACACACGCACGCACGCACACACACACGTGTCCACTGTACGTATACTTGCTCACTGCTATACGCTGGTCACTTAGGTCTCCCCAGGGAGCAAAGCTCAAGAGAACCCCCCCACATCCCCAACCTGCCAGTACGGTGGACATAATCTGATAAAAAAGATTACTCCACTTAGGAGTTAGGGCCCCGCACAGCAGTGAGTCCATGAGAACACAATGCATAAAAAGGGCTGGCAACATCAGGGTGTCCAACTGCATTCCCAACCCCCCCCCCCCCCCCCCCTTCCCCAGTCAAGGTTTTTCTTCAGACTAGTGTGGGCTGCTAAATCAGAGTGGGTCTGATATAGTAGGCTTTACGATCACTTTTGATTACTCTAATTCCAGAAATTTTCGGTGCTCAACATTTTCGGTATGAGAGCAAAAGGCCGGGTTAGGTGAACAAAAATTGTAGGTACAGAGAAGCAGTTCCCTATTGAATTATGTGTATTAGTGTTTGTTCAGGTATTGATATTTTAGGTATGAAACAGATGCACCCAAAGTACCCAAAATAAAAGTACATCGAAAACTTGTGAAATTACAGTACGCAGGAGTCAATATGACCAGAAATAGTTCGTTGGTCAACGGGTATGTCGGATGGCAACAGACCTAATCACTATCTGGCATCAGTACACTAACCATCTGACTTAACTCTCTGTCTGTCTGTCTGTTTGCCTGTCTCTCTGGCTCTGTCTGTCTGTCGGTCTCTCTCACGCTCGTGCAAACACACACCACTTGTACTTGCTCACTACCAGACACTGGTCATAAATTGTCTCCCCTTGAGAGATTCGCACACCACACACAAACACACCGCCACCGATACACCCATTGCAGGACATTCTTGCATGCTTACTTACATCCGGAACATGCTCCTTCCTGTTAAAGGGGAAGTTAAGGCTAAAATCAAAATTTCACCAGTTGTAGTCTTCGGGGTGCTAAGTCGAATGGTCTTGGTCCGAGAAAGCTGAGACGCTCCCTTCCTACTTGAATCCCAATCGAACTCGCGCACTTCCACCGAAACTGGGTGACTGCGCCCTACTAGATGGGGATTTGTATGCAAAATGTCACTAAAAGCGCCATGCCGTTCTTATAAAAGCACGGATGACTGCGATTGGCCCGAAAAGGCTGCGATGCAGCGTTCCTCCTTTATTCTCAATTGAACATGGATGAACAAGCGGTCACGTGCTCCTGCATACACCAGTCACCGTGCCTGCAACATACTAGCCTGTTTGACCTTTTTTGGGTGCAGTCCTGTCACTCGAGTTGAACCTTGGTGTGAAAGTTGTCGCCTGCTGGCCTGGTGACTAGGTGATTTGGGCACCCAGGAGCACGTGACCGCTTGTCCAACCATGTTCGATTGGGAATAAAGGAGGAACGCTGCATCGCAGCCTTTTCGGACCAAAACCAGTCGACTCAGCGTCCAAAAGAGTACAACATATGGGCCAATCGCGGTCATCCGTGCTTTTATAAGAACGAAATGGGGCTTTTAGTGACATTTTGCATACGAATCCCCATCTAGTAGGGCGCAGTCACCCAGTTTGGGTGGAAGTGCGCGAGTTCGATTGGGATTCAAGTAGGAAGGGAGCGTCTCAGCTTTCTCGGACCAAGACCATTCGACTCAGCACCCCGAAGACTACAACTGGTGAAATTTTGATTTTTAGCCTGAACTTCCCCTTTAACACATCAGTTTCTGAACTGCTTGGTCAATCAAAACGAGACACGAACTGTGTCAACATGGTAAAAAAGAAAGAACCAGAGCGGAACAGGCCAAATAAAGCATGCACATGAGACGGAAAAGTGAATGCAAGCGGCAGCTGCTGCAGTGATGCACCGTGCCAGAGGCAATGAACGAAACTCACAGTTGCTAATGAGTAACCAGCGAATGGGAAAAAAACCTATGTTTGTATGCGCGGAGAGATTTGTTTGATTGATGAAGAACGGCGTTAGCTGCTGCGTGAAAAGGATTGATAGCACCTGGACTGAATATTAATTGAGGAGAACTTTTTAAAACGTTTCAGTGACATCATGTTGATGTTGCCAAAGGAGGGAAAACTGGCTTTCAGGAAGACTGAAAAAAAGAGAGAAAAGAAACTGGACAGAATATGACGGCGACAACTATTGTAACTTCCGTGTGAATGTTGCTGCTGCTGCTGCCGCGTCTTGTCTTGCACAGGTGCTGACAGGCGAGAGCTGCACGCGTCTTGTCATTCGCACGCTGAGCGACATCTCCAAAGGCAAGGGAGCAGCGCTCCCGTACACAACAGTAAGCCAGATCGAGTTGAGCGGGCTGGGAAAAGCAAGGGAGTAGAGAAGACATATGAGCTGCATACTAAAAGTCTAAGAGAGGTTTTTTAAAAAAGCACCATAAATGTCTTTGGAAAAGCAGCCAGGACTAAGACAACGATTGACATGTAGTAGCAACGGCGGCAATAGCAGCAAGATAGAGTTCAAATGAAGCCAAGGTAGCGGACGAGAAAAAAAGATGTGCAGATGACCAGCACCTGGAAATATAGTGGTCCATGCGAAAAACACAGCCACACGCACACACATACACAACACACGCACACAACACCACCCACACGCACACACAACACACACGCAAGAGAAGCAGAAAAGGAATGTTGCACATCAGCAGCAGCCTTCACGTGACTCTGCTGCGGTAGCTGGCACTCCGAGTTGAATAACCCGATGATACAGTAGCAGGTAGCTCTCACTGTTGAGGACTTCATTCACAGACGCACGCGTCACAGCCGAATCATCACACCGGTACCATTCGTTCTTTTTCTGACGGACAAAACACGTATAGTGGCCTTGCGACAGCTGGCCTTTGTGAACGACCACAGCAAACAGAGAGTACGTATTCCACAGTGGGTGCTTCGTCCGACTGTCTGAGTTTTCCCGCTCGGCCATGAACTCGCTCACGTCCAGGGTCTCGGGAAACTCCACGAACGTCGAAATCTTTTTCTGCCGCTTTTTCAGCTGCAGCTGCTCAAAGCGCTTCAAGTGAAAGCAGATGACCGGCGGAGTCTCGTACATACGCAGCTGCTTGGAGCACTCCTGCGACGTGTTGCACATCTCGCAGAAGATTTTCGCCTCGCTCCCGAGCTGCTCTTTTCTAGTGTAGCGCTTCAGGCAATCTACCAATGACTGCGGACAGCTGGCGCCTTTGCCTCCATTGCTGAGTGCAGGCAGGGTCAATGTTGGAGAAAGCAGCGGCGGGGAATGCGGAGGTGACGCCATGGTCAGGCTGGGAAGTCCGCTACCGCTGCTGATCGGCGTAGGTCGACTGCCACCGCCGCCGGCATGCGCAACAGAACTCGGCGTACACGGCAAGGCAGGGAGCTGTTTGCCGAGGTTGGGCAACGTCGGTCGCATGCTGCCGTTAAATCGACTGCTGCCGGATGTTGGCGAGGTAAGTGCCGTTGTTGTCGTCGTCGCTGTCGTTGTTGTTGGCTCTTGCATGGTGGGCGTGGGCGGCGGGCTAGACGCACTGTTTATCTGCTGCTGTGTTAGTACTGGCTGCTGTTGATCTTGCTTGCCGCTTACACCGTTAGCAGAGCCAACGGCTGGTGATGTGCTGCCGTTTATCACGTTGCTGCCAGCCACTGATTGCTGCTGCTGCTGCTGATCTTGTTGCTGTAACTGATCATTGCTAGTACACACCGGTGTTAGTGTTGTCGGCCTCTCTCGTGCCAGGACCGTCGCGCTGGCCGGCGCAAACTTGCCGTTCTTGCGTCGATTTTTGCCGCGGCCCTTGTTTTTGTGCGGCGCATACTTGGTCGTGACGGGCTTAGTGGTGAGGGCGGCGCGAGCAGCAGTTGACTCCGCCGACTTCACCTTGGTGACGACTGGTGAGGGCAGCTCCAGCGACAGGTCCCAGAACATCTCCACCGTCGGCGACACGTTGGAGCACTTGTTGCACGTGACGGTGGACTGCACGAACCCTTTGAAGACCAAGTCGACGATGCTGGAGCACTTGCTGGCGTTGGCTAGTGCTGGCGGTGACGGCGAGAGGTGGTCGTGCAGTAGGGTCATGGATGCTATCAGGAACTCGTGCGCGTCCTGCTGCTGGTTACCAGCCAGTGCCGCTGCTTCCTGCCACATCATGTGCAGTAGCTTCGATGGCACGATGGGCTGTGGCTTGCCGCTGTAGAACTCCTGAAACAGCTCCTGAAAGCACAGCATCGGGCAGACCTCTTTGGTTTGCTTACAGGAATGTGGCTTGCAAGATAGGAAATACTCCCGTAGTACGGGAGCATGTGCCAGTGCCTGAAGGACACTGCTCATGAAACACGAGTTGCCCAAATTTTGAACACCTCGCAGTCCAAGTGGCGAGTTTTCATCCATGTAGACGAGACTCGCTTTGCTCTGGCGTAGGAGCTTTGCCTGTCCTTCGTCCGGTAGCCACCGCCTGTTCCGCTTTACTCCAGCATTTACTGCGGCCAAACAAAAAGCGTTGTCGACGTCGCCGTCATAGATATTCGCCTGGCACTTGTGGCAGTACAGGTTACCAGTGGCCACGCTCACCGTGAGGAAATGCTCCTGGTCATTCATTCTTGTCGAGAAATGCTCATTGCACTTACATGCTACGAACTGACAGGAGAGGCACACGTGGAGGTTACTGCTCGACTCACAGAACATACACTGGCTATCATCTTTGAGTTTTCTCGCTCTCTCGTTGTAAGGATAGAGAAATATGGAGGCAATGCCCTGCAATGTTGCATTGGCTCTCGCGGTCTTGTACTCCTCGATGTGGCTGCAGGATCGCATACTGCGATTTCCACGGAGTTGAAACAATGCAACATATGGCTACTCTGGGCATTCACTACGTTTGCAACACGCGGAAAAAAGAAACAGTTCGGTCGGTGTAGCCAGAGCGGAAGACGGGTCGTGTAGGTCCGACTCCTCTGCTGTTAGAAACAACAATGGCGAAGGAACGTTTGTTTTACTCTTACAAAGAGACCTGGTCTCAAAAGTGGCCAAGAGATGCCGAACTACCCACTCGCTTTTGCAGTGACCTCCGCCGTGCGAGAGCAAACCAGGTCTGTTGGCAACACAGCATGCATTCACTCGTGGTGGTGAAATCACAAGATCGCGAGTCAAGTCAGCTTGACCTCGTTCTCCTTTTTTCCCCATAATTTTGCGCGATTGCACAAAGTGCGCACGCTCAACCGCCGCTGAAAAAGTGCTTTTTATGCTCAACAAGCTAGCTGCATGCATGCAGCGCAGCTGGGTTTTTGTCACACCTCACTGCATGCATCATGCCATGCTCAGGTACAACGTCTTATCTGTCTGATCTGTACTATTGTGAGTATTGACTATTGTGCAGTGCCAACAACCATTGACCATGATTGTTGACTTGTACTAGTTGTAGGCTTGAAGTACATGACCCTAGTACAGGTCGTCCCTCGCGTTAATAATACATAATCTCTGGGACTTGACAAATGTTACGTATTAACGGGGTTTATGTACTAAACGAAAGTGTACATAACTAACTTGCTTGGGTACCAGAATTTTTCACTTTTTCAACTTTTCTGAGTGTTTCTTGCTACCATGACTAGGGAGCGAGATATTCTTGATTCCCTCGATATAACATAAAAATTATGTTATAACGGTCACAGTCAGCGACAATTCTACAGTGCACATGATACATGCCCAGTCTTGCCTGTACAGTCACTCGGAAAAAACCAGAGCGTTGTCGGTTTGTGATGTGGTTTCTGAGCTAATTGCGCCCACAAGTAGAAACTAGAACACGTTGTGTCTCCACTGGAAGGCCAAAAGACCAACAAATTATGTACTATTGAGGTAGGTGGCATGCGGGCACGGAGAAATGTTATGTACTAACGGGGTTTATGTACTAACGAATTATGTACTAACCGACAAAATTTGTATGGAAGTGATCACGTTTCGTCCGGGACTTGAGATTTCTTATGTACTAACGGGGTTTATGTACTAACCAGACTCGTATTAACGGGGGACGGCCTATACACTCGAACGTCTCTTATTTTGGCCGGGCACTGCCCGTACCTCAGGATAACTCATCTACCATGTATCATATCATTTTTTTGAAGAGGTTTATTTGGCACATATTGCACATGTTCAGGATACAAAAAGAATCCATTGATAAAAATGTGTGGATTACACAGGTTGGCAGTGACAAATAAGCACTTGCGCATACAAAAAAAAGTTCAAACCCCCCCCCCCCCAAATTCGAAGCAGTTTTACCATAGTAACTCAAGCTGAAGGTGCCCGGTAGAGAGACATGCCGTAGCTGAGGCGTCCGGATAAGGGACGCTTGAGTGTACTACCGTATTTTTCCGGTTGTAAGTGGGGGTCGATTTACAACCGGGATTCGACTTATAACCGGGAACTATCAGTATCTTACAAAAAACGACCTGCACTGCATGCACAAGTGCACCATGTGTACACATTTTTGCCAGTTTATTGCCCTTTTTCAAGGATTGGGACGTTATACCCTCCACTAAGGAATGTTTACATGATTTGTTGTTGTGTTAGTAGAAGGGAGTGGTTAGTAGTGCTTCTTTGGGTGAAAACTTTAAAACGCAGAATTGAGACCTCCGGATACGGGGGTCGACCTATAACCGGGGTCGACTTACAACCGGTAAAATACGGTACTTCATTACTGTAAGACATGTATATATAACGAGGAAGCAAATCTAACGTTTTAACGGATGACATTTCTTCGTTATAATAAGATCCGTTGAGGCCGTACTGCTTCATGTATGCTGTGTGTGGATATGGCAGAATACTGCAAGATCGTTAACATATCTTCTTGTTAACCTATGAATTTTGGACAGTCGTTAAATTTGCGACTCGTTATAATAACATGTCTTACAGTATACCGGTAATTATTATTACAGAGCGAAACAGTTGCTGTCCACAGATTTGAGTATAATTATTATTATGCACATTGTATTAGGAAATTAGAGGCCACATGCCACGTACTGCTTTTTTTTAAATTCTCCGTGAAGTCCAAATTTGAAATTGCAATATGTACGTTGTAGTAACTAGTAATCCGGATTCTGAGTGTTCAGTGACTTTATCCTACTGACTGTGATTGTGGTTCTACGAATGCTAATTCCCGAGCATACATGTACGTAAACGACTTTACGTTAGGAGCGTCTGACGCTAGCCAGGGTCCATCGCGCTTTTGTAAGCACTGCCTCTCTGTGTGTCTATGTGCAGTGCCCGCAGACTACCTCATTTTCTCTGTGCTGCACTGTGTCCACGAAGGACGAAACAGTTCTGCCCGGAGATTGAGTTCATTTCGCTCATAAACTTTATTCTATTTCGATCATAAGCTTTTCCTACACTTGCAGATTGTGCTTTCACTGTGCAGGCAACGACGATGAAAAGCAGTGAAAGAGAATAGCCACAAGAAGAAGTGCTATCACACGACTGCACAACAATGTCGTGCTTGTGTTGGGGAGCACACGGGACGTATGCACAGACAGTGCTAGCACCTATGCAGCGAGCACACACTCACACCATCATCACCAAAGGACTGGGAGCACTAGTAGGTGCCGTGCTGAAGAACGGCATCGCAAGTTGCTCTCAACGCCTCCAACGTAGAACACAATCCTGCTGAGTAGAAAATATCGACCACTTTATTCAATTACAAAGCGTTAAATTTCGTTCTTTTCCATAAGTTTTCACCCGTCCTATACCCTATGATATGCACGCTAGTGTTAACGCCAAGACCAGACCAGAGGTCTTGTCTTGGCGTTGTTGACGTGCCTCACCAGCACGGGCTCCCCCCCCCCCCCCTCCCTGGTGCCCCTGCTCTCCCCGCTGTTTGTTTTTGTTGCTGTCTCCTGCTCTTTTCATTTGAGTAGGTTGTGTCTTCTGTAACAAAAAACGAAAAAAATGGAAGTTAATTACACTTCTTAGATTGTATCTTTGCTGGCATGTGTGTCTGCTGGAGATCGTTTGACACGTGGAACAAGTATTGTGGAAATGAAGTGGGATTAAAGTGTGTGTGTGGTGGTGGTGGTGGTGGTGGTGGGAGGTAGGTCTTCCAAACCATAGTTCTCCAGTCGTACATCAGCGTTGCTAATCCATCTGTCCCCGGGGAAATTGCGATTCCGCGGCCGCGTTTTTTTCCGCGTTTTTTTGCGATTTTTAAAAAGACCGCGTTTTCCACGATTTTCCCCGCGTTTTTTGAACTTTTTTGTTGCACTACACGTACACACAGTGCACTGTTCGGTCAGCAACGTCTCATCGTGGCGTCTTTTTACTCAAATATGACGAGTGCTTACACCAGAGACTTGTAACTGATTGATTTCACTACATACTCGCTGAAAATTGCCGCACATCAATATTATTCACCGCATATTTACCGCAAATTCACCGCAAATTATGCCATATTATGCCGCGTTTTCCCCCGCGTTTTTTGCGATTTTTTCCCGCAATTTTCCCCGGGGACAGATCCATGGCCAGCTGACGTCGTGCCACTAATCGCCAAACATGCATTAGAGGATTTGAACGGCTGCATGTAGACCAGGTCGTTGTTTGTCAGGCTTTCTGGATTGTGTACAGTACTTGCAGTATCCTGATGCAGCCAATGCTCTACTTCCTACGGTTCAATAATATTGCCACGCACAC